GCTGGCCGGTGAGTGACACAATGCACTAAACTTCCGGCTGGCTGACAGAGGAGACAGCCACTGCAGCAGACAGAGGCATCACATTACTTTGGATGGGGGCGGTGGTCAAGATTTTCGGCAAGCTATATACATACAGAGGAGTCGGAGTCGGAAGATTTAGAAACTGAGGAGTCGGAGTCGGAGCATTTATCTACCGACTCCACAGCCCTGATTATTACTGTAGTAATAAGTAATACTGGCAGATTGTTTAGCTGATGCCAATCATTTTTCAGTTCATAAATTCAGTGGCGAGCACGCTGCATTATAGTGGTTCAAAGCTTTTCACCTCAGTCATTCCATAACAAACATCACAAATACTGAGTTCCACGTTGGTCTGTAGTCACACACTGCTGTGTTTAAGCCATGAAGACTAACTTTTTAAAATCCTAACACATGGCATTTTGTATTGTTTATCTCTTCAGTGTCAAGTGTATGCCATGTCATATCTGGGTGGCTAACAGGACTGATTGTAGATGTAACCTTTCTTTACTCTTCTACATAGGAGAAGGTGCTCTGAGCAAACCTGATTATGGGGCAAATGTTGGTTTGCTGGTCACACTGTACATAGGAGAATCCCAGTTCTGGTCTTTGCCTTTGGCCTCATGTATAACAAAAAGAGGCTTTGGCAGACACACATGTATTGACTATTTGATAGTAGTGTAAGAGGAGGATTGAAAGTTTGTTCATTTCTGAGACATAATGTTAATGTCGGTCACCTAACCTACAGAAACCATCACAGGAAAAAGTTTTAGGATTGTTCTACTTTACCAGTGCCTTGGTTTGGTTTCCCACATTCTAGAAATGCTGCTTTCTCTCTGTGTTTCTGCCTCAGAGGTAAAATTAGCAGTCTTTGAATAAGAGATTATTATTAGATATGTTCATTAGACTTCCACATTCATGAATCACATGGAGCACATCACCGATATCTGTATTTGCTTACATTGTCTTAATGCTCAACATAAAGGTAAGGACAGCCTTCTGTCCTGAAATGGGAAAAAAATTAAAACCAGTATGGTGGGGCCAGCAATGAAAAACTGCTTCCTTTTTCCTGTAAATGTTTCCTGAAAAGCAGGCCCTAACGCCCCTCTTTTTGTTTCCCTCTCGAAAGACGGTTGATGATGACGCGATGGAAGCATGAATGAGGGTTAGCGTGGCGAAAGCTGAATGATGCCCAAGGCTGGGGACTCTAAAACACCCCAGCTGGAGGACTTTTCACTCAACCCTGACATGCTGGAAAAGCAGACTGGGAAGAAGGTAAGATCCCCTCAAGCGTATGTCCATGGCAGTTTGCACCTTTTCTGTTCACCTCTTCATTTCATGCAGTACATCTTTTTACGAAGGGCAGCTTTCTTTGGGAAGTTCGCAGGCACTAATTGGTTGTCTCACCGTCAATAGACTTTGTGCATTAAAACATTAGTAGCACTCTAATTCAATATCTATCTGACATGTTTTATGGAACTCTGGTGGTTACATAAAATATGAGAATAAGGAGCAGGGTGTATTTCCATGCCATTTCTATATGGTCAGGATAGCTTGTAAATGATTAAATAATGTTTAACAGCCTCATTACTGTATTGGTATTCCCCATCAAAGCAGTGTTCTCCATCACATTCTGATGGAGATCTCTGGGATTGAAATCCAGAAGCTGGATGGCCAGCAGTAGATTGGTAATCAGATTCTCCGTAGAGCATCTATTAACCTCACAGCTGTCGACAGCAGTGCTGTCATCCATCGGCAGAATACCAGTGTGTCATGGGTTTCTGCTGTTAAAGGTGTACCAGGACCAGTCCATTGGAGTGGTGTGCCCCATAGCATGGTGAAATGATTAAAGTCCAGAAAATCACCCTGAACATCAGCAGCCACTGGCAACACAGTGGAGGATAACTCAGACCATAACCTTATTCTCTGCTGGGTGCCACATTCCTTGCGCTGTCTGCAAGCCTACTTCAGCATACAGGTGATATCATGGATTACAGTCTTTCCAAGTATGGCAGCCAAACTGCAATCTGTGCCCTATTGCATTTACTTTTTTTTTTCTACAATATGGGATGCTTGAAGATGGCTTGGAATTTTGCTGTTCCTGCTGCCATTTCAATTTTCAGTGCAGTCTTATAACCATGCATTTTGCTTTCATCCTCGGTGAGTGACACCCAGTCTTTAGAATACAATTTGTGTATGATCTTTGTTTATACACAGTGGCAGTAAGGCTAGGAAGAGTGTATTTGCAATACTGTGCTTGTTTTGCACTGCTCGGCAGGTTAGTACCATATTGTTTCCATTTTCCTTGTCTATTACTTGAATATATTACTATTAGGAGGATAAGGTCTCACCAGCTGTGTTTCAGCTTCATTGTGCCTTATTTTAGACTCTTTAATGACAGTGACATGTTTTTCATGCATTACAGTAAAACTACAGAAATAGAACACAGTACACCTTTTGGGATACAGTGTGTTGAAGGTGGTGCCTGTGAAATCTTGTGGAGTTTTCAGTTCTTATTTTTAGTTATTTTTTTCAGATGAACTCTTGTATCAAATAAGCCATCGTTTAAATTCCTTAATACCATAAGTGCAAAAAAGAATGTATTTTACTATACTCATGTCACTCTGCAGGGTTCTAATACCTTGATAAATAGCTACCATGTTTTCGGCTGATGTGCTTCTAAAGTTAACTGCAGGATAAAGTCCATTCTAAATGTCATCCCTCACCCCCGCATAACTCCTGGAAACTATAGTTCATAGAAGGCATCTTTGATAGCTGGGGCTCTGCAACAAAGTTAAGGTCTGAAGGTTATAATAAAGCCAGCAGCAGAGATAGCATTTGAATCAGCCTTACTGTGTATGTACAGCATTCCAAGCCTGGTTGCATCAGGCACCAGAGGGGGTGGCGCATTGCTGGGAGACGTATAAACACAGGGTGCCCTGAAAAGACAGCTTTGAAGTAGGATGGGGCTCACAGCTGTCATGAATTATGCCGATCAGCTTTCTACATTAGTTGTGTTTTATTGTGGTTGGTTATTGTGTGTGCATGCGTGTTTGCCTATATGTTGGGAGCTTAACTTCTGTTTTTCTCCACCCCTACTCTCCCTCTGCAATTTGCACAATGACAGTCAAGTGTATGAACAGGAAGTAGTGTGTGTGTACAATGACTTCATGCTCTCGTGATTGATGAAAGATAGGGAACCTCTCTGCTCACTCAGAAATGGTGTGGCAATATGCTGCAGTTTGATACGCAGCAGGTTTACTAAAGCCAGATATATCAGTAGCAGTTTGTAGAGAAGAATCCTTTAGGTCAGTGTTTCTTAACCTGGTCCTCAGGGACCCCCAGACAGTCCACAGTTTCGCTCCCTCCTAGCTCCCTGCCAGACAGTCCACTTTTTTGCTCCCTGCCAGACAGTCCACTTTTTTGAACCATCTGGGAGTCCCCAAGGACTGGGTTAAGAAACATTGCTTTAGGTAATGTTGTGGTTTGAATAGACTGTAAGGTTGCTATAATGTTCAGGTGTATAATAATGTGAGGTGAGAGACCTACCTAGCCCGTTCTGTACTGATGCAGTCTCTGCTCCACCCATGGTTCTATACATGCTCTATTTGTTTTCATAGATCTTTTCATTTAGTGCTTTGTTACAGTGTGCTGTGTAGGTAGTATTTTTGTGAGAGTCCTAGCAGACTCACCCTTTCAGAATCCAGAGTTGCATCTTGTTACATCACCTAATGTTGTGTAATATGTAAGGTAATATAGAATGACTTGCATTGCCAACATGATTACACTCCTAATCTGATTAAAAATGTCTGTTCTGTTTTTTTTGAGCTTATTTTTTCCCACCAATGTTTCACAATGAGTCCTGAACCTGCAAGCATGTCCCAGTTAAGTCACGACTCGATTCTGTCTGTGAAATTAACCACATTGAGTTTGAGGCCTTCATCCAGAATCTGAGTTCAGTTGTGAAGAGTTCTACCTTCAACAGAGTGGTGCAGAAGCATCACATGAAAGGGCAACTCTGTAAATTCAGGAGCTGTTACAGTTCCTTGCTCCCGACTGCCAGTGTATACATAGAGGAAGCAAAGTTACGGCATTACACAACTCATGTCCTGTCCTGACAGAGCAGAACAGCAAATCTTAAGTCCTATCTCTGGCCCACACTCCACAAGGCCTGTCTCTAGTGACCATTGAACACATTTTTCATCTGAGCAGAACAGAAGAATAGGAGATCCTATTTCAGATTAGTGCTATAGGGTAGTATTTGGATTATTTCACAGTGCATTTCTTCACCAGTTGTATTGGAGAATTGCAGGTCACAGTATCCTGAATTTTTCACATGAGATAAATGTACTTGTAATTAAATTTGCAAATAACTGGTAGATGACTGGTTTCACTCTATCCTCCTTACCCTTTTCCAGGACAAAGATAAAATCTCCTCAAACAAGACACTTAAATTGGAGCGAAGTGATGGAGGTAAAGAGATGAAAGAGAAGGCTCCAAAGAGAAAGCTGTCCTTTACTGTTGGCACCAATGGGGAGAGAGATTCTGACTCAGGTAATCCCACAGGGAAATGGGGTCAAGCAGTCTGAAGTCATCCTGAAACAGATCACAGAGAATGGGGAAAAACTGACATGTGAGTTATTCTGGGAGGTGTTCATTCCAGAATGTCATGAGCTTCTGACAATGTTGATCTTGTTTACCATCTTTCTGAATTATAAGTGTATTCTTTTTATTGTTGTTATGCCCACATGTGATAATTTTGTTTAGTTAAATACATTTACAGTACAGTATCTTTTTTATACTTTTTTTAAACAGAAGTTGTAATAGCTGGCTTTCCTAGATATTTTACCTGTTACAACCTTTTGGGTGGCTTCTGTGATGAGTTGCAGTGGTTCTGTGATTCTTGTCATAATGTGAAAGTGCGATGGGGTCAAAGGAATAGAGCTTGGGGTCTGTGGCCATTTGGAGGTAGAACTCCTTTTATCTAAGTCTACTCCTATCTGCCTCTTTTACCCATAATATATATATATTTTTTTACCACTCTCTCATTTCTCCTGTCTCTGTTCCCAGTTTCTTGTAAGTGCAATTGGCATATGTATGTAAAGTGTCTGGTGTCAGTCAGGCAATGATCCTTCTCAATCTCATTACCTAAAGCCTGAGCTTTTTGTGCCCCGAATTCACATTCCACACACCCACATGATTATAATTATGGTTTTGAGTTGCTCTTGATTCTCAGTAAAGGACAGTGAAGTTTAACTTGGATCTTGGGAGAATGGTTGTTCATCTAATGTAAATCCACCTTATCACTCTTTGATGTCTGTGTTGAAACATCTCTGCACTTTTCCTGTTGTGATGGAGACCCACTTTTTCTTAACATGGTGATGAGCTTGTGTACATTAGGAAGTAAACACACAGGATCCAGGAAACAGGTATCAGGATTTAAAGAAATGAATTGCAATCAAGTCATCCATAGAAAAATGAATATGACAACTCTTATTCTGAGTATTCAGTGTTTTTGTATTCACATTTATGGAGTTTCTGTACTTACAGATCAGTTCAAACTACATGTGACAGTGCTGATGTACCTTAGGAATTGATGGCTATGATAAATTCTGTAAAACAAGAGCAAAGGCACAACGGCAGCCTTTGGGGATCCTTGTTGAACATGAAAATGACTGTGGGCATGGCCTGGAGGATAAACACTGGCTCTTATGAAGGCCGCATTGTGCAGGACTGAGGACTCAGCTGGTGTCACAGGCTCATACTCCTCAAGTCTGTACCCCTACTGATAATAGTCTGTAACACTGGGAAGTGACCTGATGAACCTGGGTCTCCGGTGGGCTTTCTACCAAAAGTGGAAGGGAATTGGCGTTATAGAAGTTAGTCAGAAAAGGTTCCACCTTGTGACACTTTGCTGTCTTGCTTATATGCTACATTATGAGCTGTATATTGTTTAACTCCTATGTGACCATATTTTTCTGTCTTAAAGCTCCACGTACAAAAAATTTCAAACTGAAGATTGTGCTGATAGACACTCTGCATTAACGTTTGTCTATCAATGGATTTTCAATCCCCAGTGTTCACTGGAATGCAACTTGGTTTGAGAAGCTTAAGTAGCCAATACATAATTATTGTGACCCCCAGCTGCGTGGACAAAAATGCTTTTGTCTGCATGAGGGCTTTTTCACTTGGACAGAAGTTGCACAAGTTCATTTCCGAAATTGATGCTGAAGATGGCAAATGCATAAAAGCACAAGCACGGACAATTTTGCGGCTATTTCCTGCATGCCATTCCTTCATTTCCTGTTTACTCTACTCAGCCCACTTGTTGGCTTCTGAACAGTGGAGAGGCAATGGGTTTGAACAGTACCAGGAAAAATGCCTGCATCTGAGGAATTAGCATTTTTTCTTAACGTGAAGCTGGCAATTCTTGCACTTCACGTCTTATCAGACACCAGCCATAGCTTCACAAGGTAGCACTCTGCACCTAGCCACTTCCCACAGATGTTCTTTCTCCCCAAATAAAGCCTACATGCAAGAGACTAGAAAGTTTCAGAGGCAAATTTTTGCCCGCTATTTCATCATCGTCGTAGCTGGAGAAGTAAAATGAAAGGTCATGTGACTGTCCTTTTCCATGGACTGCATAAACAAGTTTGGTCATTGCGGTTAATAAAACAGGGCATGTTTATTGTTACTCTTTGTGATGCCAAATTTCAGTCCAGGAAACAGGTCTGACTGCTTCAGCCTTGAGAGATTGTAGTTTCTTTGTTCTTATTTTTGCTGTTGCTGGAACATGTTTGCAGATGAGTCCCCAGTTCTCAGCTCAACCCTTATCTGATGAACAAATTTTTGTTTTCTGGTCGATAGTAGTAGAGGTCGACCGATATTGAATTTTACCGATACCGATAGCTAGGTTGGTCCGTACTTGCCGATAACCGATTAATTAACCGATAGTTTTTAAAATGGATACTGGATAAAAAAAAAAAACTAAATAAAAACACAACACTCCATGTAAAATAGTACTAAACTTTATTACAAAAACAAACAAAAAAACAGTACTGAACCATGAAAATGTGCTATGAATATGAATATATTAATAAATATTGAGGTAAATTAAAGACATGCTTTCAAACTGAAACAAAAAGTAACACTCCAAATAAATAAAAAAATGTTACATACAAAATGAATAATAAAAGGCACTCCAAATAACAACAAATTTGAACTTGTGAAACAGGAGAAACTTAACTAGTCCTGTTAAAGAACTGCAAGAGATTCAAGTGTAACATGGTCCAGTTCTAGTTCTAGTTCTAGTTCTAAACAATAAACAATACATCTAAAGCATTTATTAACCTCAGTTAAATGTAATGTCACTGTAAAACATTAACCATTTCACATAAATCCAAAGTCATGCCTAAAGTGGTCATCTTTAAATGTCAGAGTATTAAATGAATGTTACATAATTATATAAATGTATATTATATGTGTAGTCTCCCATTATATTTGCTTCTATTTTGAAAACTTTTTTCTCTCTCCATAGGCAGAGGTTGACCAAACTGTTTGTGTAATCTGTTAACAACGCTCATTATATACTCGTCTTTTTAGGCAAGAACCAGATAATGAGTGTCACGTCATGAAATGGTTTTAATACGAAGGGAGCTGTATTACGTGATAACAAATTTAATAAAAACATCGTAAGTTAGGCCTATAATAGTAACAATTTCATTTCAAACAACAAATATATTATATAGAGAAGGTGAGCAAAGTATCAACAGAGCTTTTTGAAACTCCGAATCGGTAAAACACTGCGTCGCAAAAAGACTCACTGTTTCAAAGCGCTCCAGTTGGATCCCCCATCCCCCCGGCAAATCGCACCCTGTGCCTGAAGATAAAAAGAACTGAAATCGAATGCATTCCTGATGGTAACAATCATGACATTAAACATTTGGGTCGGACTTGGGTGTATTTTTGCCACATTATTTTAACCGCTTGATGTACTGCTAATGTTAGCGTCCTCTCAGCCTTGTCGACAAACATACTGCTGTTCTTTCTCCAATGCAGAATCTAATCAACAAATGAATTACTTTATATTGAGATGAAAACATGTACTGTAGTGTACTGTATACATACCTTTTCGCTGTCTGTGTTTTAAACGTGCATTTGAAGTGTCAGCGTTGTCCGTGCACCGCGCTCTCTCCAGGCAGCTCGCGCTCTCCTTGCAACGAACAGTATCACGTGTCAAAACGAAAGCACGTGCTTTACAGTGATTTTCGCCTATAGAGGCGGCTCTTGCCATAGATATGTTGGCTCTTGCACTGTATAAGGACAACGGACCGTTCTTAGCCGCTTCTGCTCTGACGCGACCCGGAAAAACTATCGGCGTGGATTTTGCCGATAACCGATAGTTCCGGGAATCAACTATCGGTGCCGATTAATCAGCAAATCCGATACATCGGTTGACCTCTAGATAGTACCATGTCTCGATTTCCCTCTTCATTCATGGGGTCCTCCAAAGAGGGTATCGCTAGAGTCCGAACTGAATGTTTTTTAAATGGCCACGTTGAAGCTTTTTTTTTGCCTGTGATTTTCTCTTTTCAGGTTATTATAGGTAATTTTCCTGGTGATTGTGTGGGGAGACGGTACAGGTTGTACAGAGGCCAAAGGACCACAGTTATCAGCCATTGTGTTTCTGCACTTGGCTGTCAGATGAACTCATTTCCCTGATGCCCCTTCCCCGCAGGCTGTCCTAATACATCCATGTTTGTCTGTCTGTCTGTTTGTTTGTGTCTGTGTGGATGTGATGATTACTCGCATGAAACTGGGACCTAATTTGTCACTGCCATTGGTGCCATTGGTGCCATATGGTTACTCTCATGCAATGCAGTTTTATTTGTCTTCTCACATGTACAGTATACACACATAGAACCACACTGTCTGGATTCAGTGTTAGGTTCAAAGATTTTTCATGTCAAAGAAGAAGGATTGTGCTCTCAAAATGAGTTTAACAGTAATCCAGGCTTTTAAATAACTATGCGGCATTTCAGTCCTGGCCCCCTGCCCTTTATGAGGCTCTGCACTGGGGCCTGGTACTCTAGAAAGCGAAATGCCATGGTCCAGCTTTTTAGTCCCACCTCCCACATGGGCTGAACATGTTGAGACTGCCTCATGTTATTCTACTCTGGATAGAAGGAATGTATCCAAACACGGTTAATGTATGTGTGGGGAGGGTGTTGAGTCTAAGTTTTTACAGATGTTAGTGTCTCTCTTTTTTGGCTCCTGTAGAACAGTTCCAGCAGATCACTTGCTACAGGAAGTATGTAGCATGTTTCATATTAATGATGTTTTACGGCCTTGAGGAAAGAATCACATCATGTGCATTGAAGTGACTGCCATCGTAGATTTTTCCTTAATTACTTGATGAAAAATAGTGACAACTGCATATGATTTATTATTAACATAAGTATTTTGAATAATGTGTGCTTTTTCTAGCACTTTTTTTCTTTTCAACATAACCAAGAATTTGGTGTCAGTCCCTGACACTGTCTGCACTGCTGTGTTCTCAATATCACCACCATCTCTCTGCTGCTCCGTTCTCAATCTCAGCCCCTGATACCATCTTTGTGCTGCTTGGTTCTCAATCTCTGCCTCCCTATACCATCTCTGTGCTGCTTGGTTCTCGATCTCGGCCTCCCTATACCATCTCTGTGCTGCTCTCAGCCTCCCATACCAGCATAGCACATCTCATATTTTTCCATCATCTCGATTTTTGCAGAAAAGCAAGGTCCAGAACGGAAACGGATTAGGAAGGAGTCTGCCAACAGCAGGAAATCAGGCCTGCTCTTTGGAATGGGCATGCAAGGGCTTCGTGCTGGGTGCCCACTCTCAGAGCGCCAGCAGGTGGCTCTTCTCATGCAGATGACAGCCGAGGAATCGGTGAACAGTCCAGGTCAGTGAGTGGTTAGATTGGTTAGGTCTGTGTTTACCCTAGCACCATGCACACATTTTTCTGTTAAATCATCAATACTCCTTGCATTAAGTAGCCTGTATTACCTCACTGTTTCTTTGCTCTAATTTTTCTGCTGCAAGATCTGACAATTTTAAAATGACAAAAGAGAGTTTGTTTGCTGTAGGTTGTACGTTATTTGATCCCAATGAATGTTTGTGTTGATTATAGGTGATTGAGTCATACAAGTTCAAACTGAAAGCATGATATTTTGCAAGCTGTTTCTGTTTACCTTTCATAATGTGTACTAATTATAGATGATTTTGGTGAGCAGTATAACAAAAATTATTATTGCTTACAGAGAAAGATTATGGTTAATGGATATTATTTGAATTATAGTGCACACTAAAAATTAGTGCTATTTTCAGTTTTTGTTCAGGGTAATATCCAACTCCAGTAGTTTATTTTGGAATATAAAGAATAGGTAAATGTAGTGTGTTCTTCCGCTGCGTATTTACTGTAGCAGCAATGCATTAAGTTTCTGTGTTGCAGTGTTCGTTTTACATTCATTTTTTTGTGAAAGAGCTCCCTCCATTGGTTAAAAGTATTTTTGCCACAGGTCCATATAGTGGTTTAATGTACTTTATTTGTATCAGTGGAATATAATGAAGCTTTAACCCATCTACGGCTTCAGACACCACACCAAAGCACCAGTCACAGTCAAGTCTGGGTCAGAAGGGAACACCAAACTCTGCCTCAAAAACCAAAGATAAAGTGAACAAGCGCAATGAGAGAGGGGAGACTCGGCTGCACCTGGCCGCCATCCGGGGGGAGGCCTGGCGCGTTAAAGAGCTGATCAGCGAGGGTGCCGATGTGAACCTTAAAGACTTTGCAGGTGAGGCATCTTTTTTTTTGTGTTCACATTTCACTTTTCCATGTCTTTCAGCTTACTAATCTTTGAACTACAATTTTCCCATACAACACACTCTCCTAGACTTATCTCACAAGTATTATCTAGTTTTGAAATTTATAGAGGGGCGAATGTTAAATGCTCAAGTGTGTAGGAAATCAACAACAAATTTGTTACGCACTGTTCTACCTGCTGTCCCATGTTATAATACTGTTAAGCGGTTTACCCAAAACAACAACAGACAATGGGAAACAACTTAAGTGACTGGATGTCCATGCTGTGCTGTATTTATAGATGCTATGCTGTAACTAAGGGGGCATACGTAAGCTACAGATTTTTTAATATTCAATTTCAGCTATATAGCTACAACTCTGATGTCTGTAAAAAAAATCCTTATTATGGGCTGCCAGCGTTGGTTGAAGCATGTTGAACTCTGAGCTATTAGTTAAGTTCTCCCCAAGCGAGCTTGATGGGCCGAATGGCCTCCTCTCGTTTGTATAGTTCTTATGTTGTCTTCTAAATGCTGTTTTCCTTGTAAAATAAAAATATTCATTTATTATTAATAAGAAAATTACCCCACTATGATTCTCTGGAAGTGTTTTCATTCTCTGTTGAATGTAAAATTCCGTTGTTGACACTTGAAAAGGAATTATATGCATAATTACCAAGTAGTACTCAGTAACTTTTAGTAGCTCACGACCAAAGATAGTGGTATTGCATGAATCTCATGTTTTGTATCTTCTTGGGTTGATTTCCCATATTGATTGCCAGGGTGGACTGCACTGCATGAAGCATGCACCAGGGGTTTCTATGATGTGGCCAAGCAGCTGCTGGCAGCCGGAGCAGAGGTCAACACAAAGGGTCTGGACGACGATACCCCTCTGCATGACGCATCCAACAATGGGCACTTCAAGGTGTCGCATTTAATTAATGTTTAAGATGGCCAGTATTTAGGAAATTAGTTTAAATTCTGGTGTAATATCTTATGAAGTGTTTATGTAGGTGTCTCTGGTTATGAGGACTGTAATATTTCTTTCATCATCTTTGCAGGTGGTAAAGTTACTATTGCGATATGGAGGGGATCCTCGCCAAATGAACCGGCGGGGTGAAACACCATTGAAAGTAGCCTACTCACCATCTATGCTGAATCTTCTACTTGGAAAAAGCGCTTATACTTCAAGCGAGGAAAGTTCTTCAGGTCTGTTTAATTTGTAAGTCATAGTATACAGTGGCCTCTTGTCCTAAATGTGTTGTGACACTTTTTATTTGTATTGATAGATTCCTCAGAAGAGGAAGATGCTCCATCTTTTGCTCCATCCAGCTCTATTGATGGCAATAACACAGATTCAGAGTTTGAGAAGGGCCTGAAATTGAAAGGGAAAAATATTGAGCCACCTAAATCAACAGCCATGCCTATCAAGGATGAGTATGAGTTTGATGAGGATGATGATGAAGAACGGGTTCCTCCTGTCGATGACAAGCACCTACTCAAGAAAGAATTCCGCAAAGACTCCATAAGCAAAGGCAGCAGCTTCATTTCAATTCCTAAAATAGAAGTTAAAACCTATTCCAAAAGAACTTCTCTGACACCAAAGAAGACAGCAAGGCGAAACCAGTCAGATACAAGTAGCTCAGACGAAGATGACCAAACCATGTGCTTCTCCCAAACACCATCAGTGCGGCAAATAGTCCCAGAAAATAACATCAAGAACAGGGAGTCTGATACTTTGGCCTCCAAGCAACAGAAAGAAAAGAATAAAGTAAAAAAGAAGAGGAAGAAGGATTCAAAAAGTAACACTAAGGAAGTCCGGTTTGGCAAGATGAATGATAAGTTCTGCACATCTGAATCAGATAGCGGAGACTTGGAAAGTGAGGATGATAAGGGCTCTGTACAGAGTTCTAACTGTGCGAAGGACTCTTCTGCTATGAACCTGAAAGAATCATCTCTTTTGAATTCCCTTTCTGCCACCTCTTCATCTTCTCATGGGAGTATGAGCTCTCAAAAGTTGACTCAGTCATTCGTGGAACAACATCCAAAACAGTGGAGGACAGAGGAATGGAAAAGCGTATCCTCATCTGCTTGGTCTGATGACAGCTCATTCTCAGAATCCCTCCAGACCAGACTGTCCAGTGAATCTGATTATTCATCAACAGATTCAAGTATAGAGTCTCCCAAACAGGTAAAAAAGAAGATGCATGAGATGCGTAAGAAGAATAATATGCACTGTAACACTTTGGAAAAGAAGGCCTCCTTAGACTTTCAAAAGAACTTGGATGGAACTGTGTCCAAGGCAGACAAAGAGGGTAAAGTGTTAAAAAAGCACAAAGTAAAACATAAACACAAAAATAAAGAGAAGGAAAAGGCTCCAAGCTTGGTCCTTAACCAAGATATGAATGAAAAATTTGTGAAGAGTTTTTCTTTTGACTTCGATGACTCACGACAAAAATCACTTACTGTGGAAACAGAGACATCCATAGAGAGCAAAGTCAAGCTTACCAAGCACACCAAAGATCATTTTAAAAAGGAAGACAGATATTACAAAAGCAGATCTGAGGACAAGGATTGGACTCCTGCACAAGAAGTAGGCAAGCCTGTAAGAGAGGAGAAGTCCAAAAAGAAGGATTCCACTAAAGAGAAGTCAAGTAAGGAGGATAAAGATAAAACATTCAAGTCTGATAAGGATAGGAGTGTCAAGGACAAGTCCAAAGACGAGAAGCAGAAACCCCACAAAGATGAGAAAAAGAAAAGGCCAAAGTCATCTAAATCAGATAAAAAGAATGAAAAAGAGGGGAAATTTGTTAGAATAGAAAAAGGAAAAAATTCAAAGGAGGACAAAGAAAAAACTAAAAAGGAGAGGGCATCCAAGGAGGAGCTTCCTTACGAGGACTATGATATTAAGAACCGTTTTTTAGATCTAGACAGTAGTAAGCTTAGCGGCTCAGATGACCACTATGACCAGTGGATGACAGACCTTTCTTCTGAATCTTCTGTCTATGAAGAAGATAGTTGGGACATGCCGGTGAAGGAATACAAGGAGTGTAAAGCAAACAACTCTGTTAAGTTGATTGTAGAGACTGTAAAGGATGACAGTCGAGACCGAAGGAAAGAGAGTAAGATAAAAGACAGAAGAACTGAGCACCTTGAAAGACATGAGAAAGAAGTTGCATCCAAAAAAAGGGAGAAAGACTCAGACAAAGTGAGTGAGAAGAAACAGGAGATGGCAGACAAACAGAGACCAAACAACAGTTATTTGGAAAAAGAGAAAAAGAAGAAAGATTCGGTGGAAAATGTGAAAGAGAAAAGGGAGAAAGATGCTGTTGACAGCATCAGGGAAAGAAAAGATTCTCATGAATTTACGAAGGAGAGAAAAGACTCAAAAACGAAACAAGACGACATTTTAATAGAAGACTATGGGAGTGAAATTTATTTCAAAGATAAAGCTGAGAATGAGGCTGTTAGCAAACTGTCAGAACCCAGAGAGAGAAATCACTCTGGAAAAGATAAGGAGAAAAAAGGAGAGGGTTGGGAAAAGGAGAAGAAAGACAAATCTAAAAGTGAGAAACACAAAGAGAAGCCTAAAGAAAAAGTCATTGTGGACCCAGAAAAGGAGAAAATGGACAAATGTTCCTCTGATAGATCGGCTAAAGATGTAGATAGGGGGTTAAAAGATAAACACAAAGATTGCCATAATAAAGAAAAAGAGCGGAAAGTAGAACAAATTAAAGACAGGCATTCTGATAAAGACTTTCTGGAGTTTAAAAAAGAAGATAAAAAACCTGACAAGGTTAGGGAAAAGACCTGGTTTTCCAAAATTGCCGACATCTTCACAGATGAGAGTGAGAATGAGGAGGATGTTTGCAGTGGCAGAGCCGTTAAGTTTAGCAATTCTCTAAATCGGTTCGACTGTCACCGCAAGGATCCTACACCTGACAGAGATGTGATGGACCTCTCCCAAACCGAAAAACACTCAAAGTTCTCTGCAGAAGAAAAATCGTTCTCCGTAGAAAAACAAAAAGAGAAGGATTATAAAGATAAGAAAAAGGATAAAAGCTTCTTTGATTTTGGGAGAAAGTCATCTTTGGATGTACTTAAAGAAAGAAAAGACAAAGATGCCCTAGACTGTAAGCATAAGGATCGCAAGGACAGAGGATCTTTTGACTCAAATCAAGAGAAGAAGAACAAGCAAAAACTGTCGGAGAAGAGGCATTTGAGTGAGGAGAAACCCAAAAATAAATATAAAGACAAGTTAGACAAAGAACACATAAAAGATAAGAAGACCTCCAAAGCAAATGGTGAAAATGAGAAATCACTGTTGGAGAAGCTGGAAGAGGAGGCATTGAATGACTACAAAGATGACTCCAATGATAGAATCAGTGAATTGTCATCAGATAGCTTCACAGACAGAGGGCGTGAGCCAGAACTTAACCTGTATGAATCCTCCAGCATCAGCTTACAGGACATAACTGAAGATAGGAGAGACTTGCTATCATTATCCTATCCTCAAGATAAATTTAAAGAAAAGGAGAGGCATAGGCACTCATCTTCATCATCATCCAAAAAGATTCATGAAAAGGTGAAAAAGGAGAGGACCGAAAAACGAGAAAAGTTTGATGAAGTTAAAGATTCATACAGGCGCAGAGAGAGTTTGCCTTTTGAAAAGGAGTCAATGCCTTTGGAGGCAGACCCATTTACATTTTCCATTGGAGCTAAACCTGATGGCGAGGATCATTTAGAAAAATCTCTAGAGTTTGAAAAAGAGATGTCTAAAAAATGTGATAAAGGCAACAGTACCATCATCAGCGACAAAATGAAAGAGAAAAAGAAGAAAGACAGACTTAAGGATAAAGTGAAAGAAGAGAAACACAAATATGTGGATGGTGTGGTTTCTATTAAACACTCTAAGGATGATCTGAAATCTGGGCTTAAGGAGAGCATTCAACTGACTAGTTTGAATGAAAAGTCTAAAGTAGAGGCTGGGAGGTTTGACATGAAAAACAAAGACAGATCTAAAGAAATTCAAGAAAAAGATTGTAGAATTGATTATGTTAAGCCTAAGCCAAAGGAAGAGAATAATGACAAGATAAATCAATCTAGAGATGCAACTCGAAATTCAAACCGTCCACGTGAAAAGCTTCTTGTTGATGGGGACCTCAGATTGACAAGCTTCGGGAAGATGCTAAGCCAGAAGGACCAAGAAATTGAAGAGCGTCATAAAAGGCATAAGGAAAGAATGAAGCAGATCGAGAAGTTGAGACACAAGTCCGTAGATGCAAAACTAAAAGATAAAGCTAAATCAAGTGAGGACCTAAGGAAAAACCGCATTGATCTGTCTTCTAAAAAAATTAGTCCTTTGGAGTCTTTGTTAAAAGAAAAGAAGAAAGATGTGGACCCTCAAGCTCAAATGATGTCTCCTGATAGAAAATCACAGCCTGTCGAAAGTCAGAGTTCAAAAAACTGGCTGGCAGGACATCTTATGAAGGAGAATCTTCCAGCTTCTCCAAGGCCAGATCAAAGCAGGCCAACTGGTGTTCCCACACCCACTTCAGTTATCTCTTGTCCCAGCTATGAAGAAATTATGCACACTCCACGTACTCCAACATGCAGTGCAGATGATTACCCAGATCTCTTGTTTGATAACATAGACTCATCTACCATGAGTAATTCCATTAAGACCTACTCCCCGTCCTTAGTTGACAGGTGCTCCAGTGCATCACACACCCTTCAGGAAAGCATCTCCATATCTCCCATAAAGAATGTTCAGATGCCTATTCTCAGCCGGTCAGCGTCTGTAGATCTCAGGAGATCTTTGGATGAGGAATTCAGACGAGAACCTGAGAAGTTCCTTAGGCAGCAGAGCATCCCTGCTACTTCTGAATTCAAGTCATCAGACTTACTTTCAGTAGAAGATAAATCACCGGATAAACCTGAATGTTTTTTCCCTCACATTGGAATGCATTCTCCCGGGCTTGAACCAGCCCAGCCAATATTGGATAATGCTTCAGTTGCAATCATTGGCCCAGATGGCAATGATCACCTTCCAGAAAGTTTCTCCGACAATTTTTTGTTGAAGCCCTCAACTCCTATTCACAGACCTGACCTTCAAGAGCCATGTTTGCATATCGCTGCCTCTCCTGCTCCGGCTGCTGCGGCTTTACCACCTATGGATATTGATGAACTGTCAGAGCCATATCATCCACTGGCTTTGTCACCACAGTGTGAGCCTAACCTTCATCCCACTGATCCCTGTAATAGAACTTACTTCCTAACACAAGTTGTGGAAGACAAAGTTGCTGATGATGATGATGCTGATGATGTTTCTGATGAAAAAGAAGTGGAGAGAAAGAATGACCCGGTGCAGCTATCAAAAAGTAATACTCAGCAGGAGTCAGAGCATATGAGAGAAAACCAGTCTTGTGCTCCTTGTCTAGCAGAACCTGTAAAGAAGGGCTGGGTTGACTCTTCAGAAAAGAGTTCAGAGTATGCGGTTTCACTTATTCCCCCTCAACATCAAATAAGCCTTTTGGAAAACTCCAGTGATCACTCCATCAGCTGGACAGTGAATTCTGATATGACCAATAAATCTCCTCAAAGGCCTTTTTTGGAATTGTCATCAGCCTCAAACATATTACCCTTCTCACATTCAGGTGACAACCTGCAACAGCATCTCTCACATTCATTGTCCTCTCTGTCATCATCCATCTTGTCCTACTCTACATTTCCTGCACCTTACTGCCCAACCCAAGTTTCAGTGTCGGTTTATGAGAAAAATAAAGATACTGTAGATAAAGTTCTCATTTCCTCAAAGCCACCAGATGAATGCAAATCAGACCTGATTTCCTCCTCCCCACAACTAGAATCATTTTTTACTGACTGCATAACATCCCATGAAGAAAATCAGAGCCAGGAGAATTGCTTTAATATGGACAGCTCTCCAACCTCTCACAATTTCATTGCTGGAAATAGTATGGCCCCTTCAGTGACCCATAAGCCAGTGGTTTCTTGGGCAGACTCATTTAGTACTGCTGAAGAAGATTTAGGTGACCTAGTACCCTTCCCTATGCCACAGTTGCCTTTACAAGACAAAGAAGTTCAAGAACCTTTCATACTGAGGCCTAAGATGCATGACTACAGAGACTCTCTTGCTTATATTGCATCTCTAGCTAATGAGGAGAAAGAGGACTTGAGTACAATGAGGTTGAATGTACCTGACCTGCCTGAAGCCCCTTGCAGCCCTGGTGATGTCCCACTCAATGATTCTGGACAAAATACTGTCACACCTTTAGAGAATGAAACCAGAACAGACCAAGCCCCTGAGGCTGATTCTATTAATGTAATGTCAGACAGCATAGAAGTGTTTGCGCTCGATCAGAAAGAGAATTTGAAGTTAGTAATTGCAGATAAGCATGTAGTGGAACCTGTGCCAATTCAACAATCTGCCATGGAAATGTCAGCTACATCCTCTGACCATGAGACCTCTGAAAACCCAAGCAACCAAGAACAGACTAGAACTGTGGAGATTACTCGGTGTAATCCTTTGCCTTCTGCTCCTGTGATATCAACAGACACCGAGGAAAATACAGCTCATGAGTCAACTCTGCTTGAGCCTGCTATCCCAATGGTAACAGTGGAGGCTCTCAAGAAGCTAGAAGAAATTCCACAAATAATAACAAGGAATCGAGCTCAGATACTAGCTAATCAAGGCAAATTGAGTACTAGTATGACATCATCCATGGCAGTTCAAAGCACCATCAATGCCACATCTGTCCCTAACGTCTTGGAAAAGGAGAAAGAGACTATCAGTAAGCTCACCCCCACCACTCCCACAACCTTGAGCAAAAGCAAAGGCCGATCTGTGGATGAAGAGGATGCCCAGGTGCAGCATCCACGCAAACGGAAGTTTCCCAAGTCTAGTCAGCAACAAGTGCAGGTCCAGCTGATCAGCACAACTATGCAGCAGACAAGGGAGATGATTCAGCAAACACTAGCTGTGATCATCAATGCCATCAAGTTGGATGACATTGAGCCCTACCAAAGTGACCGGTCCAACCCCTACTTTGAGTATTTGCAAATTCGGAAGAAGATTGAGGAGAAAAGGAAAATCCTGTGCTATATCACTCCACAGGCACCTCAGTGCTATGCTGAGTACGTGACCTACACAGGCTCCTACCTGCTGGATGGAAAGCCTCTCAGCAAGCTACACATCCCTGTGGTGGGTACTCTTCAAAAATGTTCAGTCATGTGTAGTGAAGAAAGACTTCATCCTTCAATTTTTTTCCACTGTCTTTAAGTGAACACCAGATCCATTTTGTGGTATATTTTAAGTGTTAATGTGGTCTTAAGAAATTTGAATCCTCTCGAAACGCTGGCTAAAGTACTGATATCTGTAGTTAACTTGAGTTTGTGTTTAAGTTAATGGTGTTTTCAAAGAGGAATTACTATAGAGTTTCCACTGTCTGCTAAAAATTGGCTAAATCTTAAAAATGTTTTTTCCCCACATTTCATTTATTTGTTTTGCACTCCTGACTTTCAAAAATAGTGATTAAATATTTAGAGTTGACAGTAAATATTTTTTTCAAATACATAGATTGCACCACCTCCTTCTTTGTCGGAGCCTTTGAAAGAGCTCTTCAGACAGCAGGAGGCAGTGAGAGGAAAGCTAAGACTTCAGCACAGTATAGAGCGGGTAAGTACTGGAATAATCCTGCATCTGAAGTAGCTAGGTAGTTTGCTATGCTGGATGTTGCACTTTCCATTATTCAGCCAAGTTTTCTGAAAAATGTGCTTAAAGTATCCTTAGCGTTATTTTCTATTGACCTCTCTTCTTCAGGAGAAGCTGATTGTGGCTTGTGAGCAGGAAGTGCTGCGTGTTCACTGCAGAGCTGCAAGGACAATCGCAAACCAGGCTGTTCCCTTCAGTGCCTGCACCATGCTGTTGGATTCAGAGGTCTACAACATGCCTTCTGAGAGTCAGGTGGTTCTACAGCCCCATTAAACTGGTGGGAAACCACCATCTATTATTTACCTACTTATCTCTTCAGTCTTCAACTCTTTTATAACATAACTTAGCATGTGTTGTGAAGAGTGTGTTCTGTAGATTCATTGTCCTTTTATGTTTGTTTCTGCTTATGGTTGTTTTATGAATGCTCATGTTTGTTACTGTCAGGGAGATGAGAACAAGTCCGTGAGAGATCGTTTCAACACTCGCCAGTTCATTTCCTGGATTCAGGATGTGGGTGACAAATATGACCGTATGAAGGTGAAATGTTAAATTATTATTTTTTTGTTATAATTATCTTGATATATAGTTCTGTCAGATGCTTATTTTCTTCCCATTCTAACCACGTTTTTATTGTTTATTTTGTGTGCATTTTGTTTATACATTTCTGAATTCCACATAAGTACCTCTCTCGTGCACAAGGTGTCCTTCCTCTAGATAGATTTTGCTGCTGTCAAACAGTTTATTTCATCTTGCAGACCTGTGTACTAATGCGGCAGCAGCACGAGGCAGCTGCCCTCAACGCCGTGCAGAGGATGGAGTGGCAGCTCAAGGTGCAGGAGCTGGACCCTGCCGGACACAAGGGGCTCTGTGTCAGTGAGGTCCCCTCCTTTTACGTGCCAATGGTCGACGTCAATGATGACTTTGTACTGCTGCCGACGTGACAGGAGTGTTCACAGAACTGTCAAATGTCACCATTAAAAAAGACATCAGACTAAGCATCTGGTAAGGGCTAGCCAGTCGGAAAGGAACCTCTTCTCAAAATGTGTTGTATATATGATGAAAACAAACTTTCTAATAATTTCCTTCCATAAAAGGAGGATGACTTTTTTAATGGGGAAGAAATGCACTTTTACCCTACAAGTTTTTATGTTTTTTTTTTGTTCCAAGAAGGCAATATGGATTTGCCTGGGGGTATAGCCCTGATGTTTGATTCTATTTTTTTATACATACATACACACACACATACATTTTTTTTATATGTGTGTGTGTGTGTATTGTGTTTGTATGTATGTATGTATGTATGTATGTATGTGTGTGTGTGTGTGTGTGTGTGTGTGTGTATATATATATATATATATATATATATATATATATATACATATATATTTGGAAAGTAACATTTTGTTTTTGAAATGAAGATCTGAGGCTCATTAAGGAAGCAGAACTATACATGGCACAAAATGCACAGAAGGACCTTTGAATTGCTCTTCAGAGGGCAAGGTGCAGGGGCAGAAAATTGAGAGCGGCTCAGTATAAAGGTGGAACCTTGGCAGGGTCCCTCCACAGACGGCACTAACCCATCTAGCCAACAAGGGGGCCATGCTGACCGAAGGACTGCATTGGACTGCATTGTGCTGGTCCTTATTCTACATGTTGCACCGTCTAAGGAGAGGCAAAGAAATCTGACATGGGTGTTCGCCAGCAAGCAGGTTGTCAGTCTCTGCTGTCACACTGGGTTTTCACACCTGTTCACTGCAAACAACCACAGATTGTCGAGGCAAAGACTGAGATATTTTTTTTTTGTCTACTTCTTTCCTTGGGCATTTCATTGTTTCTCTTTCCGAGAAAGTGACTTCAAACACTATAGAGCCAATATTAGTTTAAAGAAAAAAAGATTTTTTAAAAAAAGTATCATATAATTTCTGTACAGTTTTGTATGTACCAATGTATTCTTGCTGCCTTCAGAATAATTTATTTTGCCATTCATTACTGCACAGTTGTAAATAACTTGTGTACTGTAACATCACACACAGTTAAATGTAATAAAGCGTTTTTATATATACAGTTCATTTTAGGCAGCACTTTCCCTAAACAATGGGCCAAAATACGTTCATATTTTTAGTATTTCAAGGAGCCATCCAGTTCCTTGGTGTTCTGGTCACAGCTAGTTAGAGAACCGGTCAGATCAAGTCAGAACCAGTTATAACGTGACATCTTATTCTTTATGACAGGAAAAATATCAGAAATCCCCTTTTCCCCTTCCTTTCCAGCAGTTCTTACTCTGTAATATAAGCCGTTTCAGTCCTATGATGTAGCAGAATGGTTATTAAATTATTTTAAGTAATGGTAATTTTATTTTACACTTACTTTCTACAAAACTAATTAAAAAGAAAATTAAAACCAAGAAAATGCCTTTTACAGTCTGATTAATTTGCTTTATCATTGTGCAAGTAAAAAATTAAGGTAAGCACAGGACATTTCACATTTCAGTTATGTAGTATAAATATTGTCATATTAGAAATCCAATTAACATGACATCGATATGCTGTGTGTTACAACCAAACATTTCTAATTTTAAATTGTGCAATGAGCATAGGCTATATGGTGTATGTTGAATTTTACTATTACTAAGATGTTGTATGAACCTTGTTTTTGTCTGTTGGTTTAGGTATGGTGACTGCCTCTCTTTCCCTGAGAAGTAAGATTTACAACATATGGCCAATTAAAGTTTCACCTGAAGTTTCAGATATACAGGGTATTGAGGTTTCAGTAAAAAGGTGCTACTTTTCTGTTAGTTCATTTTATTTATAAAATAACAGCTGTATTGGAAACCAATTTTATGAACAACTTTGTATTTTCTGCTGGCTAACTTGAATTGATTCTTACATATTGTTTTGCTGTTTTTGTTTGAGTTAAAACTTTAAGAAATGCAATGGCCTAATCAGGTATACCTGAAACACAGACATCCTGAAACTCTCCAGCCCCCAAAATGCTTGCACTATCAATAGATTCCATTATGTTCTGTCAAACAGAACACAGTAAAGTCATTGAAGCACAAGTGTAAGTGATCACATGATGGAACATGCAGGAGGAAGTACTGTATGAGTGCTGCAACACTGCTCAGCCAATCAGCTGTAGGTATCTATGTGTAGTAAGTGCTAGACCTGAATGTATTTCTGGCCTTGGTGCTCTTTGCATTTCCAGGCATTTCTGTTGTTCATCTTATTTGAATAAATACATTAAAACTTTTCCAAAGGCTTATGATTTGTTAAACTGAACTTTTATAGGCAATACGCACACAAGCTTAGTTATGCCTCAAGCTAATTGACTGGGTATATCCATTGCTAATTGTTCTCAGTGGAAGAGAAGGCCAGTCCACCTGTAAGTTTTCTTATAATTGTTTGCCTTCAGAATTGTACCTTGTATGATTTTAAGCATAAAAAAACTATAATTAGTCCTTAGATTTTCCAGAATGTTAAATGTTCTTTAAATGGATTTATTTTTCCTGTTATTTTGTGTATTTGTATTGTTACATGGTACATGGTGTTCATCATGCTTAGTTGCATGTTGTACTGTTAGACCCAGTTTGGGATGTTATGTAAACATTGTCAGACTATTTTTCTATGCAGGTGCACAGTGTTCTCACACATGCTTAAGAGAATGGGGAAAGAATGATTGCCAGCATCATATGATGTTACTCATTTTTATTTTTTGCGTATTTACAGCCTTGTGGCTTGGCACTGTGACATGTTAGATATAATGTTAATGTCCCAACACTTAACCATTTTGAGCTGCAGTGTATTTTTGTCATATGTAAATTCTTGCATCTACATTCAGTGAGGAATTTAGTGTGAATAACACACTAATGCTACATGTCGCCCTGTGAGTTGAGTAAAATAGGTGAGCGATGAGCAAACACCTATAAATCCCCCCAGCCTTTAATAAAAATCAGTTGGTTGTTTCTATACATAAACACATGCATATTCTTATCCAATCCAGCAAAAAGTTTCACTTAGCTACCAGTATTTTATACACTCACTGGATGATTAGCATGATTTTACATATTCTTTTAAATACCAAAATATACACACCAAAATTAGAGCGTGCATTTTCCTGTTTGCTTTCTGTTCCTGTTATGTCTTGAGTTATTGTCCAGATTTGGATGTTGTGTTTTGTACAAAGCATTAAGAGTTGTAGCATGTTAACAGTGCTTATCAACAGAATGTATGTTACCCCTATGTCCTACATCCTTTTTGTGTCTCTCTCAATTATTTGTTTCTTTTTTGTTTTGTTTTTAGGCCTGCCTTTTATTACTAGACCGTTTCACTAACAAAGGCTTGAAATTGTGAAGACCAGCCATCAGTAGCTCTGTTAATCATGTTGCTGGGAATATATGGAGTTGATAAAGGCATGACTGAGCTTTTAAAGCCTGCATGTATAATTAAATAATAAAATGCTGGTTATGTTACATTCAGGGCCTCTCAGCCACTTCCTGCTTTCATTTATATCTTAAAGAATATATAAGCTGCTTAGTTATTCAGGGTTAATGGTTTCTGAGAAGGTTTAATGTGACCTCACTGTTTAACATCCAACTACTTACCAATGAGATGGACAATTCCCATTTCTCCTCAGTCCGCAACATCTTACCTCCTTCCTGACAGTGTGATTCGTTAGTTTTAAATAATGGGATTTCCATTGGACATTGCCACAACTTCAAGCCTTTTTTTGTCCCCCGTTTAACCCCTTGAAACCGGACTGTCGCTGTGCTAGACAAAATAAATGACAATGCATGGACAAGTACTCAAACTGGTGAAAAATAAGATATTTATCTGACACCTTTTTCTGACACCTGTGACATAATGGAATCAAAGTCTCAGCTGTGTAAATTTTCCTCTTGTAATGCGTAAGGAGACATTGTACATAGTTGTTAATACCTCCTCTTTATACTAGTTTAAACCTGCGTGGAATGTGGGGATCTAATGGAGATGAGGAAAGGGCTCGCTGCCCCTCATGTAACGATGTAATTTTTGTACAGTGTACTTGAACTGTGTACATAGCTGGAGCAGCTGAAGGGGGGAGGGGCTGTTTGTCAATTGTTGTCAGTACTGTCAACACATTCAGTGTTGTCACTAGCTGTATATATTCTCTGCAAAAAAGCAAGGAAAAAGAACTAATTAAATATAATTTGTTATTTTCTACAGTTGCATGTACAGAGAGCGCAAGAAATTCTGTTGTCCCTCAGAGATTATGTTCATAAATAAAATTTTAAAAATATCTTTTGTCATTTTTCCCCCTGCAATAATTCCTCTACGCAGAAGTTAGAGAAGTCAAATAAGTTGTTAGTATTGTATGAACAGGACCTAAGAAAAAAAAAAAGTGATTATCAAAAAAGCATAATTAGGATGTATGCCTCAGACATAAGGTTTTCTATCCACATTTTCAATCAGCTAATTTTATCCAAGGTCAGTTTTTACCCCTTTTTGTTGTACTTAACCATGGTGCCTCGTGTCTGATTTATGATATTACATGTCCAAGATGTTACTGGACAACGTGTTTATACTCATTGTCTTTGTGCAAATACCATAGGGTTAAATGATTTTTTTTCTGAGAGATGCATGTCATTCTTTTCATAATATTTTCCTCCTTGTATTCTGGCTTGAGAAATGAAGAATTGAAGAAAAAAAGGCAATTTATCAAAATTTGTCCCAACATTCATGCTATGACCTTAACCATCATAAGCAGTTAGGGGATTGATGAATGGATGGGATGTACTTATATTCATTCACTTTATTGATTGATGAAACCCTTTATTGCTGTTGCAATACACCATGTCACTAGTCACAAGTACCAGTGAAAAAACTGGCCATCAACCTGACCATACATATACAAACATCACATTATAGGGGTTAGACAGGTCAAGAAGACGGAGGATATAGGAAGAACAGAGAAAACAGAATTACATGAGGAGAGAGGAGGAGAATTTAAAAAAACAGCCCCCAGACTGTACTCCAGTAGGGAGTACAATGTAGGAACAGGAAGAAAAAAAACCTCAGCAACATAAGCACATGCATAAGCACATAGTCACCACACCTTACATTAAAGTCGAGACTTGCAATAGGGGAGGGGAATGGGGAGGTGGAGGTAGTCCAGCATAGACAAACAGCCATCCGGTCCTGCAGCCAGAGGCGCTGTTCACAGACCCGCCTGTTCACGCTGGGGGTGTGAAGCGGCAAAGGCGTGGGATGGGGGTAGGGTGTCCTTGTGGTTGGGGGAGAGGAATGCAAGAGAGTCTCACTGTCTCGTTCTTCAGGGGAAGTTGTTGAATTCAGCAGCGACCTTGGCCAAGGCCCGTGCTGATTAGGGGGGAGCCAAAAGCAGATAGAATGTGGTTGTTTGGGTTTTCGGGCGAGAAGCTGTAATTTCGCAGCTCCTCTAATGTCCACTCTGGTCTCCACCATCCAATCCTTTGCAGAGCCGTGAGCCTCTCCATGATGTTATCAAATCTGTGGTCCACAGTCACGGTGATGTTATCAAATCTGCGGTCATTAGACACAGTGATGTTATCCAGTTTGCGATCTATAGCCATAGTCTGGGCGCCAACAGCTCTGCCAAGTCCGTCAATCATCCCGGCCAGCCTAGTTGGGCTTTGAGTAGCTGTCACCGTTTTCTTCAGTTTCCGATAAACCAGGGCAATGCCTAATCCAATCATCATAAGACCTGTAATCATGGTTCCGAATAGGTAAATATCTTCGATGTCCTCCACGGAAAGAGCTGCCAGACACATGACCCTCCACTTCTTCCATCCGTCCATCGTGTAGCCAGCTGCATACGTACCTGCAGGGCAGTCAGCTTCCATCTAACCTGGGCTTTTCATCGAGAAGATGGTGTCAATTGCTTTCAGAGACCAGTTGATCAAATCCATAATTTCTTTAGTTTTTGAAGAGCAGGGATGTGAGAGTCTCTCAAGTATAGACAGTAAGACAGTAGACTAGACAAGATGAGAGGAGCAAAGCAGGGAAGATAAGGAGAGGGAGAGAAGTGCGTCTGCCTCCGCTGAGAGCCAAAGAATGAATAAATGAATAAAAAAAATATAAATTTGTCTATGAAAGCTGTTGAGGAAACGGGATGTAATTGCAGCTTTGCATATTGATATAAGCAGTAATAACAAAAATGACCTGCTTTCATCAAATGGATATCAAAAATGCAAAAGCAATGGTGGGCACCGGGGCAGGGAGGTGGGCACCGGAGCAGGGCACAGAAGGTACAGGTTCAGGTCCCAGGTCAGTCTGTCTGGTGAATGTGGGTGTCTGTGTGAGAGTGCCTCATCAGCAAGGCCTGCGCAGATGAGACTCCGGATACCCCCCTCGGGTTGGGGCGGAGGTGCTGCGGTGGGGGACGGTGGCGCCCCCATGGGTGTTGGTGCTGCGCATCCGGGCGTGTCGTGCCTGATGCCTGCTGCCCTGCTGCGTTATCACCTATTCCCCCATGCCCCCCAGCCCACACCCACCTACACCAGAATACATATAGGTACTGGGGGGTGATCAGCTAGTCACCCCCCAACTCTTTTAATTCCACTTTAGACACCACACCCACAACATCACACTGCATCACACAGAGGGAAGGGGGAGGGTGATTAGCCACTCAATCCGCGCCTGCACGGCCGCCCCCCAGGGGGAACCGGCGCGCTACCGCCTGTGGCTGTGGGGCTCCTGCCTCGTGCTCGCCGGTGGGGGGTACCCGGTACCTCCCCCCCTCTGCCTCCTTGGGTGAACGGGCAGCCCTCCGGTGGCGGGAGCCCCGGGTGCCTGGTCGCTGTGTGGCGGCTGGGTCCATGATCGCTCGGGGCTCATACAAGATTCTTGCCCTATTTTATCCCTCTCTCTACTGCTTGTCTGTGTGTATGTGTGTGAGTGGCTTCCATCCTTTCTTCTCAGATGCAGATACTGGTGCGGCGATATCCAGACTGTGTTCCTGTTGGTCTGCTTATGTATTTTTTTCTTTGGTATTAATGTATTTAATTCCAGAAGCAGATACTGCCACAAGCTTATTCACTGTCATAATGGTACCATTGGTTTCTTTGTATGTATACTTTTTATGCACCTGGATCTTGTTTTTCAGATACAGCAGCTGGTGTGATGATACAATGTCCAGTACTAAGATGCAGAAGCTGTCCTTTTGTTACTCTTTCCTTTTGCTCTACTTTTTCTTAAGTTGTCATGTATTATTTTTCTTTCCCTGTTTTTCTCTATCTGACCCCCCCTTTTTTTTCTTTTCTTCTGTCTCTCTTCACTTTCTCTCTTTTTCTCTCTCCTCTTTCTCTCCCTACTCTCTTCCTCTCTTTATCTCTCCTATTTCAGTTAACTTTCCCTGTCGGCTCCGGCTTAATGGCGGAATAATCTAAAATGGTGAATAAAGAGTATATCTCAAGTAACAAGAGGAGCTTAATCCGAAGCTCCACTTGGCAAAATAAAAGTGTTGGCACAATAAAGCACCCAGACTAACAACCTGCTTGCTAAACTGCCGGACACGACAGGGGTAAAAAAAAATAAAAAAATTTAAAATGCAAACCTGTTTTTAGTTTCAAAGGTTTATCTTTATCTTTGCCTTCCTTCTCTTTTGATTGTTTTACAGATAATGTAGGCTCAGAATAAGTAGAGAAATTGTACTTTGTTGGTGTTGCACTAATAAATACTTATTACTTTTCATTCTGAAATTCAGTGGCCTTAATAGAGGCTAGCTGAGAATCTAGAGTTAGAAATGAGTATTCCCCAAAGTCAAAGCATGCATCAATCAAGATTACGAAGTAACTGATAAAAACACGGTAATCAGTGCCAGCCCCCAAAGTGCTTTCACTGACAGCGGGTTCCATTACGTTCCATCAGACAGAACACAGTGAAGTGATTGTGATGATACACCATTGTTTCATAAATTGTCATTTTACACTTAATGAGATTATGTCAGTGAAAAATGGGCAAAAATGAGTTCAGCGCAAAATGTTTAATACTCTGTTGCTTCAGTGTTGCCGTTTAGCAATAAACATGTGACCAAAAGTTAGTATTTTTATACAAACATATTTTGTCTGGTTTCAAACAGAGTTATTTCCCATAGGATAGGTTGCATTTCAACATGGTTTATGTAAAACATGTCTTAATCGTGTTTTGTTGTTTTGCTTTTGAAGGATTTTGTACTAGTAATTGATGAGTTGGTTAATTATCAGCTCTATTCCAGTCTTTCTGTATTGAATTAGTACTAGTACTAGTTAAGCAAATTTAGGTGAACAAGGAGCGCCTACATCATATTCAATGAGACATTAGAGGAGATGAGTAGCCTAAATGCAATTGGTTCAAACTTCATTTAGTTGAGGAATCATTCTTTTGAGAGAAAGGATCATTTCATCATGCCATTTAAGATTAAGATTAGGTGCTGTCGTTGGCTGAAAAATTGCATTGTATTCGTTGTGAAATGTAAATGATCTGTAATGGTGTCTCAGGGAACCCTCAAGCAGCTAGAATATATATACTATCGAACTGAGTTGCCCAATAAAGCGGAGTGAGCTCTTCCTTTGGCATGAGATGTTTAACACTATCTGGCTGTTAAATTGTTTTAACAATACCGTACTTAAATTTGTCTAATGAATACGAAAACCATAGAAATGTTTCATATAAATTAACCATGTTACCTTCATTTATTTGCGATAAACATTCACTATTCACAGAATCACCCAATAATACAAAGACTTTACACAAACAGACGTTATTTGGGAATCAATTTGCTTTTATGATGTTAAAGTTCGAAACAAGATCAGACTGAGTATGTAGGCCTACTTCTTTGATGCACTAACCTATGTGTTACACAAATATGTAAGTGTTTATTGGAGTTACTAGAGAATCAAGTCACACCAAAAGTCTAAAACTTACATTTACAAACATCTTTATTCGTTAGCGGGAGAACATTTTAAAACAAATTTGAGGAAGCACTTCTTTACACAGCGTGTAGTTAGAGTATGGAATAGTCTTCCTGCTAGTGTAGCGGAAGCTAAAACCATGGGTTCCTTTAAATCAGAGCTAGATAAGATTTTAACAACTCTGAGCTATTAGTTAAGTTCTCCCCAAACGAGCTTGATGGGCCGAATGGCTTCCTCTCGTTTGTAAATTTCTTATGTTCTTATGCTTTTTCATAATACCCAATAATGAGCATTGATATGCGCAGGCGCGAGCTTTGCAGCAGCATGTTTACTACTGCTCCGTGTCTTTAACACCATTCAGCCTGCCCGACTGGGGAGTAAGTTGTCTGCTATGCAGGTTCCCTCCCCCTTAGTCTCATGGATTATGGACTATCTGACAGAAAGGCCACAATACGTGAGGCTGCAGGGCTGTGTCTCAGACACAGTAATGTGTAGCACTGGAGCTCCTCAGGGAACAGTTCTGTCACCGTTTCTCTTCACCATGTATACATCCGACTTCAAATACAACACGGAGGGCTGCCATCTGCAGAAATTTTCAGATGACTCAGCTATAGTTGGATGCATCAGGAATGGAGACGACTCAGAATACAGGAAGGCTGTGGACAGGTTTGTTGAATGGTGTGAGCTGAACCAACTGCAACTCAACATCAACAAGACCAAGGAACTGGTGGTTGACTTAAAAAGATTACGGTCTCCTGCTACTCCCCTGTCCATTAGGGGGGTGGATGTGGAGATCGTTCAGGACTACAAGTACCTAGGCGTCCACCTGGACAATAAGCTGGACTGGTCAAAGCATTCACTGGCTACCTACAAGAAGGGTCAAAGTAGGATGTACTTCCTAAGGAGACTCAGGTCTTTTAGAGTCTGCAACACCATGCTGCGGATGTTTTATGAGGCTGTGGTGGCCAGCGCCATTTTCTTCTCTGTAGCAAGCTGGGGTGGCAGCATGAAAGTGGCAGAGGCCAAGAGGCTGAACAAACTTATTAGGAAAGCGGCTTCTGTAGTGGGTGAGGAACTTGACAGCTTGGAAATGGTGGTTGAACGGAGGATATTGTTCCGACTTCAGTCTATCATGGACAATGCTGATCACCCGCTCCACAATGTGGTGGCTGATCAGAGAAGCACTTTTAGCTACAGGCTGACTAGCTTTAAGTGCTCCACTGAACGCTACAGAAGATCTTTCCTACCCACGGCCATCAGACTCTATAACTCGTTAAAATGATCTCACACCCAGCCTCAGACGCTAAAATAAATAAATAAACTCCATCCCGCCACACACCATACCTACCTTACATACCATACCTTAGCCTGGGCAAGAAACCTGCTGCTATTCGGATGTGCAATGTTCATCTGGTAATTTACCTGTGTAATTTACCACTTAACAGTATTTATTCTATTTATATATATTGTATTTCTGTTTCTGTATATATCATGGGTATATAGCGCAGAGTCTCATAATTTTATTTTAGTTCTTATACTTACATCTGATATTCTTTTTCTTTTATGTTCTTGTCCTGTGTCTCTGTGTGACCGTTTGTAGTAACATGAGCAATTTCCTCCGGGATAAATAAAGTTTTTCTGATTCTGATTCTGATAATACTTCAAAAATGAAATATGACACATTGTTCACTCTTTAGATTTTTATAACTCTATAACCTAAGCTGCCTGTCTGTGCTGTTACCCTTGACAGTGAACTCTGCTGCCACAAGAGGGAACATGTCTGCTTTGATCAGACAACCAGTCCCATATTCTTTAGGACAGGTGTGCCTATTAGCTTTATGACAACTTGAAGGGCACTCAGTGTTCATGAGTGTTCTGAACCCTACAGTGGAGTGTGCTTTACCGTGACCATGTATTACAAATTTGTTTTTAAGAAAAAATAACTTTATGAAGCACATTCCATACACTGATGTTTACATAGATCCACAAACTCTGTAGTCAGGCTACTTTGTTCTGTCCCTGATATCTTGACCAGAAACCATATTTTGTTACTTTTGTGGATTTGGGTGTCTTCTGCAAAGTCTGCATCCTCATTTCTGGCTTAGCTTTTACAACCCCTTTCTGGAGCCTCCTGCATTTTCCCGTCCACCATGCAGTGATCAGCCCCCACTGCGTCCAAGATGCTTTTGAATCCCTGCTCCCTGAAGTGTAAGTTAATACTGGGTTTTAATCCCTTATACATGCAAGTAAATTTGAACGATATGCACTACAGAATAAAAAAATTGCTCTGGTTTTAAATACAGTAACCTTTTTATGCTTGAAGAAAATGCAGTTTCTAATGTAATTCAAATAGTAAATTAATTGATATAGTTTAAGGCAAGTAAAAACAGTAAAAAAAATGCTTGCACAATTCCTCTCAATTTCATGACTATGAATATTGACTGGCATAAAGTGCTCAATGCATTACTTACTTCAGTAGCTGTTCCAGTTCCCGTTTGATTCTGGTGACAATGGGTGGACCTTGATACGTAAACGCTGTATATAGCTGGACCAATGATGCACCAGCACGAATCTTATCCAAGGCATCCTGCCCACTAGCTATACCTCCAACACCAACTATGGGCACTTTCCCTGGTAAAACAAGGGGGTAATAGCAGAAATTGTATTTTTCTGTGACACACACTAAATACAACTTGCACATTTTTTAACCTTTTTTTTAAAGAAGGAGTGGAGGTTAAGCAGCATGATTAAAGACCAGGTACACTCTACTCTCCTGGGATCTGAATCCAAAACATGTCAGATTCAAGTCCATAGCTGCCTTCAGGCAGAGACAAAAGCAGCCAAACTTCTCCATCTCCCAGAAGATGTGTGCATTGCCCAAGGGTCTGAACATGAAGGACATTGGTGGGAATGACTGCAAGCACTCTGTACATTAGCTTAGTCCTTTTAATTTTACCTCTGGTTAAGCTGTACATCTCTCGCACAGTGGCAGTGGACATGTCTCTTAGAGGGGCACCACTCAGGCCACCTGCTTCGCACTTCTGGGGGTCTTTCAGCATCGTGGGTCTGGAGACAGTGGTGTTGCAGACGATCAAGCCATCCACACCCAGCTGAAACCCATAATGTGTGGAATGGATGAATACTAAAACATAGCATTGGCCGTCAACATACCCACAAAAAGTGCACGTGGTACATTAGGGTGAGTGAATGAGGGTCTCACTGGCAGATCATAATGGCTTAGGTAGTAAAACATCTAAATGATTGGGGCAGTTTCGGCCTAGAGGATGTGCACAATGCATGCTGTAATGCAGCATTGCATCACACCCTTAATGCTCAAACATTCTGACATTATATTGATTATTATTTTGACAGCAGTGCAACTGTGTGTCATATCTGATGTGTAACTCCATTTAACTGCCTGTCATATTGTACTCTGTTTGAAATATATATATATATAACTATAAATTGATTTGTAGTAAACAATTCAAGGACAATTTTCCTCCCCAAGGAGCAGTGACTGTGGGATGAAAGTTATGGATTGAGGGTCGAATGCATCAGGAGGTCCACATGACAATAATCACATGCCACTCTGTCAGGGGTGAGTGAGAGACTGGAAGGTGTGGTAGGGAAGCATCAAGTGGGTCTGTAATTCATCCAGTTAGCAGAATGGTGCAGTGTTTCCAGCAGCAGGGTCTGAAATCTGCCTGGCTGCACTGACCTCAGTGATGACATCAGCTATGTCCTGCTTGTCCTGGGAGGTGAGATCAGGCGCAATCTTCACTAGAACGGGTGGCCGTCGCCCAGATTGTAAGCCATCCCGCTCTTTCAGAACCTGCATAAAACGGGAGACCCACAACTCAAACTACCTACTCACTATACGTACAACTTACTACTTATAAATCCACCTTAGTGAGGAGGCCTTGTAGTTTGACTGCATGTTTAAACATGGTTCTAGTGCTCTGAACCACAGAAAAACAGAGTTGTTTATAATTCTTTAACATGGCCTACACTGTAAGCAGGTTTTCACACCGCGACAGGACCCTCACCTTCTGTAGCAGGTGGCGCAGTTCTTCCTTGCCTTGTAGATCCCTCAGTCCTGGAGTGTTGGGGCTGCTCACATTCACTACCAGGTAGTCGGCCAGGGGTCCGAGTTTTCGCACCCCCTCCAGGTAGTCAGCCACCGCATCCTGAGACAGCTTGTTCTTGCCCAAGTTGATCCCGATAGGTCGACCAGCTAGGAAAAGACCTTATCACATCATTCTGTTGTGAACAGCTACATTAGGTGACCAGGAAACGAACCAAGACTAAAATCCAAATTCCAATCCTGGAACCATTACCTTGTGTATGCTCTGCCTGGGTAACCTCCCTGGCTTTGAGTCTCTCTTGGACAGCAGTTAAGCCACAACTGTTAAAGCCATACCTTAAAAACACATACACACACAAAAATGACTCAAGCCAAGGTTTTTCGGAATCATTTTTATCCCAGTTGCATTTTGTCATTTTCTATTGTTTGTCTACTAGTTAAAATGACTGTCTCATTTCCCCTTAATATAAAGCAAGCATTGCTTGACTAATACACCATGTAATAATCAATTTCTATTTTATTTTGGTTACTTAAAGTCTACCATTTAATAAACAGAGGGAGTCCGCTATTAAGCATGCCAGTTATGTGTACTATAAGAGGAGAGGAAACAAATCACTTTTTGTGTAACAGGTGGCCTTTATATGGATAAAAAAAATTACACTTGTCTACAAATTATGAAGTGATTATGGCAGGGCATTACAGTTTGTAGAGCATGTACTTTCAGATATGGCAGTAGATAGGGCAGAGTCAGTGTCATGACAGCAGGGAACCGGTCACCAATGACCGTACCGGTTGATCACTGCCTGATCTACTGTCAGCCTAAACACGCGTGGTTTAGGGTTCCCATCCTGGGGCAGGGGAGTCACCGTGCCGACCTCCACAAACCCAAACCCCATACGGTACAGCCCATCCATCGCTTCCCCATGCTTGTCAAAGCCGGCCGCAATCCCAACCGGATTCTGAAACCGCCGGCCAAGGACGTTGACTTCCTGAAAGGAGATGTGTAGAAATGGCCAGCAGGAAGGTATTCAACAAGGCCTCTTGGGTCATCTGTAACACCTACTGCTCACAGAAAAATCACTGCATAACTGGCTAACAAATACATATTCTATGACTGACCAGTGAGGCTGGATCCTGGTACCTGCTGTATGGTACCACACCCAGACTGATGAACCGTACTGCCATCACATGAGCTGTCTCAGCTCCCATGATTCTTTGCAGTGCAGGTACAAGCTGGTTGGCATAGAATTGCTCATCACCTGCTGCTGTGAGGTATGAGATAAAGAGAAATCCACCAGAGCCCAGAACTTTTATGGAATCTTTTATAAGTCTCTGAAAAAGAAAAGAAAGAGCTTTTCAATTAAACTGTACAATGGCTGTTGCAATAATTAGACAGAAAGGCAAACTTCCTATTTAGTTCCTGAAACAGTTTAAGTGTAATACCCACAAAATTGATGTAAATAGCAAGTTAGGAAACGGTACGTACTAGGTGTAATAAAAAGGCCATCAGCTGAAGATTTATATTGTGTTTCTTTGTAGTTATACAATTTGATAAATCAAAGATTATTCCAAATCTGCCTATTTTCCAGCTAACTCGATTTAAAGTAATTTAAAAGTAACATGTATCTGATTATCTTTAATCATACAATGTGCAACAACTAAATACCTTGAACTGCCCCGCCATTGAAGTTGCATGACAGAGTAATACTGGAAGCGCTGGTACCCACGTTGAAATGAAGAGGGAAGATCACTTCCGGTACAGAAGTTGTCGCGATAGTTCGTTTTCGACGTCACAAAACAGGCGGAGCTTTAAGACAAGGCGAGTTCTGCTGAGGGGCGGTCCGAATTTTGTGGTAAAAGCGTTTGATTTAAATTTAGTGTTCTTGCAGCCATTGAGTAGTTTAATGAATACAGTAAGTTTCAAAAGTAAACTGGAATTGTGTGCTGCACAGACATAGACAATTTGGAGAAAGTTTTTTATTAATAGATTGTTTTTTGTAACCACACATCTGGGCATGTTTACGTGCATTTACACGAGTTTTCCCATTGTATCATTATTATATTAAATATGTTTATATCCATGTAGCCATGTCCCTCTAATGACGAGAGCTTAAAGGAGAATTGGATAATTGTTAATGATTGATAATGGAAGGACATCATTAAAAATATAGTTAAAATTGACAATTGATATCCCATAGCTGTGTTTTATGTGCATTCGTCAAATTCGTCAAAGCAGTGCTTGAAGTGGGCCGGCACTCACCGGTTAATTGTTTTGGTAATTCTTTGTTTTTCTCTTCAGAGTACAGTGAACGTTTCTTGCTTACTGTATAATCTCATCAACCGATAGTGAATAACAAGTTCAGAACACCTGCACCTATTTTTTTCAAACTTCAAGCACTTGCGTTAAGTGGTGAAACACAATGAGTAATTGGTACCGTGCATCAGTGCTTACGTTCTTAGTAACAAGAGGGAAACTTCACATGCAAAAGAAGGAAGCAATAAGATATTCAGTATATACCAGTTATTGAACGGTATTGTGTGTTAGGTGTAACTTATTAGGATCTTTTTATATTTATATATACTGTCAAGAGGCAATTACACCGAGACTGTTGTTGCATGATGCATGAAAGGTCCATGTTAAAGTCATGAAGACAGGGGATTTTGCATTTATCTGTATTCTAGGAAAATGTTTATAATTCCCAATAACATTTACATTATAATGTGGCGTTTAGTACCATTTTGGTATATTGCAGCTTTTTAATCAAGATATTTTCTCTGGTTAAAAGACTCAAGTATTAAACAGATGTAGCATGTGGTATGATGTACAATCATTAGAATGACTAACATGGAAGAAAAAAGTCAACTACAAACAAGTATAAATGTAGTCCACGACCAGTATGTCCTGAGGTACTCATGACCACTATTGCATGCATGCGTGAATGCTATTCTAACAAGCTTAGCATTTAGTAAAACCAGTTATTAAGGCATTTTAAATATGAGGATGCTCTAAGATAAAGGCCAACACAGGCTAACTCTGCCCTTCTGAAACTAATCCCACCACACAGCAGCCACAGTATATTTGTAACAGTACTACCAAATTCTTCCGCAGCCATTCCATTAAACGCACCACTGAAACACATTTTATACTGTGGAATAACATACAGATTAAAGAAAAGAAATCCTAACATTCACACACAGCTAAGAAGCAGAAAGTCACAGTGACGGTCCCCTGGCAAAATGATAATTTCTAATGGAAACAAGCAATCAATAAGGATGTGATGACCAGCTTATCATTTTTTGTATCTCAGGACATTATTAGTATTCTTACAGCAAAAGGCCATAGTCATGAAAAGTATCCATCAAAAAACAGATTTTTATAAAGATGTTGATTTTAAAAATAAATCTGTACAATTTACTTCTATTCTGAATGTCAAGTATTTACTAGTGAAGCACACTGTGTTGAAACTGTTTGTTACAGTTAGGGAGAGGATGTTTATTTCAATAAAGTTAGGCTGGCATGTTTTATAGGATATCAAAGAGTTTTACTCCAAAAGAGGGTCTAAGGGCTGTCACTACAGGGCTCCGAATCATCTCTTTGCAGGGACTGTAGTGTGAGAAGGGCCACCAAGTATAAAAAAAAGGGGGGGGGGGGTGGATCAGGTCTTTTTCTTCAGATCCTCGAAGCGACGTGTCAGATCATCAAAATCAATGTCGTCTGAGGGTGCAGTGCTTCTGCCGATGGCTGCAACAGGAAGCGTGTCAGGAACAGAGGGGAGCTCGGGGAAGCCGGGGCTGTCAAACATCTGGGGGGAGGTGGGGCCGATGCCTGAGGAGGCGGCAAAATAATGCAATGAGACGCGGCATACATGATGGCTTGGGAGAGAGATTCTGCCCCTGCAGCAAGGGCGTAGGTTTGGCTTTAACATCGGTAGGGGCCAAATTAGCCCCGATTCCCCTGCCCCCCTAAACACATACGGTACTCCCCCAATATTGGTAGGGACACGTCTCTATTATCCATGGCCAAATCTATGCCATTGCCCTACAATGACCTTCATACCAATGTTTAAAAATGGGAAAAGGATTTTTTTTTCCTTAGGGCAAAACATGGGAAAATCTGCACTTACCTGTCACCTGGGAAGGAACAGGACTGTTGTTAAACAGGACATCCTTCTAAAAGACAGAAGTATTTGCAAATTAAACACAGGAATACAATGCATGTAACATTCCACCTGCTTCTGGATATGAGCCCTGAAATGTTCCCTGGACTTTACACATTTTATCATTTCAAGCATAGAAATTTATTGACTTTGTTCATGAATTACTGTTCAGTAAAATGTTTTCCTATGAATTCCAGGGGAATTAATATGGACCCTGAAAGCCTAAGAATTGTTTCAGGCAGTAGCTAATAGTGTATCTATCCTGTCCGTCAGCCTTGATATCTTGTCTTTAACTGCTTTAGAGAACTGCACAGAAAAGCAGTGGAAAAAGCAAGGTGAAGGACAAGTTGTAATAAAAAGATCTTCCCTGAAGGTAGAATGGCTGGATCTTCTGTGGCTTTGGGGGCTCTCACTTACAGATTCATAGCTGGGGGGAAGGCTGGGCAGCTGGGGTGGTTGAAAGGCATTAAAGCCGGCAGGGCCAATCATGTGCTCTTGCTGCAAAATCAAGTTACACCAACGATCTTGTTGTGCTTGAAGCAGAAGAATGATGCTTATATAAACATGCAATAAATATTCAATAAAAAAAAGACTAGACTAATGACACAGCATTGATTGAAGGTCATAGACAAATAAGGCTGAAGGGTGTTCTTACTGAGCCTTTGGATGGGGGGTAGCTGAAGCCAACTGGCATGGGCATGGGCATGGTCATAGGCATTGCCGAGGGTGGGGCAGTGAAGCCACCACCACCACCTCCTCCACCTCCTGGCTTCTTGAAGTCATCCTTCATGTCTATAAGGTTGGCTTCCTCTGCTGCACAGACCTCAGGCTGGGGGGGGGGTGGGGGTACATCAGGCCATTACAGGTAAATTGGGGGTGTATAGATCAGGCCATATCACATACCATAACTCTAAGAAGGAGAAACTCACATCAACCATGGCATCCGGCTCATATGGAACGTTGTAGTTCTTCGCAATCTCAATAAGGTAGCGTTCTACGAGAATCTTGGGCGGGGCTTCCACACTCAGTTTGTGAATGAGCTTAGAATGGAATCAGCAAATTAGGTGCCATTTTCAGACAGCATACAAATGAACAGATAGTGTTCTAAGGATTTACATTTTAAAGAATCAACACAATGACTTGTCATTGCTTACCCTACTGTTGACTGTACCAATTTGGTTTGTCCTACACAGCTTGCCATACTCCTTGCTGTATTTTGCACATAGCTGGTCTGACACCTGCATTCATAGACAAATGTGAACAGGAACCAAGGGGCAGTGCCTGGAAAGCTCCAGGTGAGTGCTACTTAAAAAACAGATTAATGATATGCAAAGGAAGAACAAAAATGAATTTAATGTCACGATCTTCATTCCTCTCTGCCAGTACTCACAGTCTTGAGTTCAGTCACTTCAGACTGCAAACGTGGAGCCGCCCAGATAAGTGTGGACACGGCCTCCTGAAGGCCTGGATCCAGTTCCCTATCAAGGACAAATAAAGAACCACCTGTCATATGACAGTATGTTCACCTTAATTTTCAGTGGCAATCTGATTTACCCTTACTTACAGATTGCACTTCCCTGCTGGAATGTATAGAGGAGTGTGACAAGCAATCAGCGCTTTAAAGAATCTCGAACTCACTTCATTGATTGGATGAGGCCAAAGCGGGCCAGGAGGAGGTCACAGTGCAGCTCTAGGATCTCCATACCCTCCACTAGGTAATCTTCTCTGATTATGTGCTCAACCCTAATACGAGCTCGTTCATCTTTTCCAGATGACAAGTAATCCGCAATTTCCTTCCGTGCTTTCTGAGCTAGTTCAGCTGTGGGAAACGAGTAGTATTACAATGATACTAGGAGTACAGTCAACACCGTCACGGAACAGATCGCTACTGTTACAGCATTTTATTTTATTTTTTTTAAAAAAGGTGTAGAGTAGTACTTACTACATGAAATACATTCGTCAAGCAAATGTGGCATTTAATTTTGAAAAGCGCTCCCTGAGCATACTAGCCAAGAACAGGTTACACACTTTATGATTTGTGAATGGAATGCGGAAAAAAGTTACTTACTTTTCTTCTTCTCCAATAGTTTGAGGCGATTAATGACCAAACGAAGGTTAACTTTAAGTCTATCAGCTTTGAACCCACCACCTAGCATGTTGGACAGCTGCCTGTGTACAGAAGTCAGTAAACTGGGTTACGGAACATGACCCACACTCCTGTGCTGACATGGTAGTATCACATTTATTTAGCCTTATGGCGCATTTGCGGATTCCATAAGAACAAATCAGATTAATAATTCTAAATTACGCAAAAAAGATCAACCTAATAGTTATCAGGTTTTAAAGCTCTATCTATCTCCTGGTTACCTGCTAATACTACCAAGAAGTTTTTATTTTTCAAACCGCGACACACTGAAAACCAAAATACAAGATACCGTCATTAAACGATGGATATTTTTATATTGAAGTTCACAATATGTGCAATAACTAACCGAAAATATAGTATAAATAACAAAAATATCGCATTACCGAGTCTTCCGAAAGACAAGTAACACCTGTTTTCAAGAAGCGAAATATTTCTCTTCCGGTATTTTCCTACGTAGACACGCGTACGTAACTGACGTCACAAGGGCAGGACGCGGGGAAACCCCTGATCCCCGCTCCCTTCCGACGTATTACTACGGAGGGTTTAGTTATTCCTAGAATTAAACTTATCTTTGACCTTTCAGAGAAAGTTTTATTTTTTGCGTTGTCATTATTCTTACACTTTTTTGTGCGCATGTGTGTAAATTGCAAGTGAAACTTTATCTCATGTAGAAAGGAAACCAGTAGATTAGTATTAGTGTTGCACATACCTATCAGCTTTGTAACACGTACAGTAAAACCGTAGTTTGATACATAGAGCATTTACCAATTGGTTCGTAATTTTAATTTATTTTCATTATCTACTCTTGATTTAACTGTATATCAATGCAGTGGCAGAATCCAATGAATGATAGTAGTTAGAAAATTATTTAGATTTCATGTATGCTGTAGGGGTCCTGGAGTGCACGGAGCATGTCACTGTTACTGGCAGTAAGTCGCTGCTGCCCAATAGTAATGGTAATTCACCATGAAATAAGCCTCAATGAGTGAGTAAGCAGCTGTAACAAGTTTCCACCATCTGGTTCTTACTGTAGTAACTACACGTTCATCTTATACTTTTTAGTTGCAAGGTAGAAGGATATACTTTTAACACTTATTTTAATCTTATAATAAAAATGTATTTTCCCAACAGGTTACATTTATATTCTAGAATCCCTTCTGTAATGATACTGTACCAATCATAAGTTTGGACACACCTGCATTTTAATACAGTCTTTAGCTATGTTATTCACTTTAAAGGTGCAGAAAGGCCTTGTGACAATGAACTAATACATATCAAATATTGCAAGGACCAAGAGAAATGCTCAATTCCTCATAGTTTTCTCAACGTTTACACTCTTCATAATAGCCACCTTTTGCTTTGATCACAGCATTGCAGACTCTTGGCATTCTTTCGACCAACTTCCAGAAGTAGCCACCTAGAATGCTTTTCCAACAATCCTGAAGGAGTTTACAAAAATTCTGGGCATAAGTTGTATGTTTTACTCTTAATCTGATTCAAACGATGCCAAACCAGCTCTGTAGGGTTAAGGTCAGAGGATTCTTGGGGCCAGGTCATCTGCAGCAGCAGTCCATCACTTTTCTTGTTCCAAAGATAATTCTTGCATTACCATGACGGTTGGAACCAAAAAATTTTAAAGCTGAACTTGTCTGACCAAAGCTCAGGGGTGTTTCTCAATACAAAGAATACAAAAAATGCACTTACGGTCTTGCTACAGTAAGTCGCCTCCCAAAAACAAACTTGGGACACAATGAATCATATGACTGGTCTCATTTGGCAAGGATGCAACTGATGCATCCTTGATATTTGGGGTGGAGCAAGAACAAAATCCAGGGATTTTTACAGTCCTCTGTACTTGAGTATTGGAACTGGTCTTCGGCAAAGGAAGATGACATAAATCAGGCACACAAGAAAAGTACGATCAAGTATGCATATTGAGAAACACCCCAGATTTCCATTGTTCTAGTGTTCATTAGCTGTCTTCTTTTACCCAAACTGATCTTCTTATTTACATCCCTCAGGTTTCTTGCAGCAATTCTACCAAAGACTTGATTCATACAGTCTCTTCTGAACAGTTGATGTTGGGATGTTCCTGCTGCTAGAGCTTTGTGAAGCATTTGCATCGGCTGTAATCTGTGGTGCTGTGAAGCAGGGAGGTGTGGAAGTCAAAGCGGAGGGGCAGACTGCTGGGGTTGTTTGCGAGTCCAGTCATTCTGTCCCTCAGCTCCGGCTTCCACACTTCCCTGCATCCTGCAGACCGAATACCCAAAGTGCCTCATATCCAAGGACCGAAGGGGTTAACAGCACCGTGGGAGCCACCCACCTTCAAGCGGAGAACTTCTTTCTCCTGGATATCCATAAGGGGTGGAGGAGTAATCCCACAGTCTGGAGGATCCCCAAGGCCAAGGTTATCTTCTGGGAGGCAGGAAAGGTGCTAGTAAGACTCACCCTGGATGCAGATCCCAGGAGGCAGATACGGTTCGGTGCTTAGTGTCTGATGTCGCTCCTTCTGTCTGCCCGTGTCCTTCGCGGTACTTGCCTTTTTGTTTTGACCTCTTGCGGTCTTGTTTTCCTGCTCTCGTTTAGTTCAATAAACCCCCTTTGTTTGCCAAACACCCACCTTTGAGTCCTTCGTCTTGTATCTTGTGACACATCCACTTGTGAAATCACTGGATGTACAGTTGCACATTGATGGATTTAAAACAGGTTATAAAAAAATTTAAAAATCATTCTCGAATGGCACTTCTATTGCAATGTGTGTGCAGTCAATAGGGTTAGGAAAACTGGACAATGAAGCAAATTGCATTGTAATGTTTGCTTGGACACCCACACTAGGGAAATCTTACATATTATCTTGACAGTCAGTTACAGTTTTTCTTGGTTGCCTTGAACAAATTCTCAAATGAAAATGGTACTTATAACCACATATGTAATCCTAACCACATATGTAATCCTAATCTGTTCAGGGGGAGGGGGGGTATCGATTGGCCTAATTTAACAAGTTTAACCCTTCCGTCTTTTGCTGTGGCCCTATGCTAAGGTTAGTCTTGATTTTTGCATACGTTCTTTAATTGTGTTCTCACCATCTCTGTTCATATTTTGTCTACTACTTCAGCACAACAGTATCAAAGAGACAGGAGATGTAATGCTTGTCTTGTACCTTTATGCAGTTATATTCTACTACTTCGTCGGTTTGCTTAGCAGTGAAACAACCAATATCGCTAGACTCTACTGTGGAAAAAGTTATGTAGCGAAAAGTCTCCAAATAAGAATAGTTCATTACAGCTGGGACGGGGTGGGGGGGGTCACGTTTGTCTATCCTGAAAATTGGCACTAAAAATGCAAATAAGAAAGATATTCCTGTAATTTTAAAGATCATATCATGTGATGTCCATAAATGTAACTTATGGAAATTCAGTCTTCATGGGACCACTAGCTTTCAGGGGCTCCAGGCAACTGCCTACCCGTGCTTTATGGTAAGTCCGCCCCTGCTGTATGTCAGATATAATACATATGTTTATGTATCTATTAACGCGCATTTCACCAGGCGCTAAAACTAACTAAATACAACTTTGATGTGCAACTCTCAATGTTGCTTTTTTTCACATTTCCTCCAAAACATTCGTGCGACTGCTCTGGACCGTTTGTAAATGTGCAAACTTTTCTCAGGATAAGTTCCTCTTTATAAACCTTTATAGATTTATAAAGAAAATGTGTATACATATATTTCTTGCTTTTCCCTTCATATGAAGCCTTTGTAAATGGTCTCCCTGTTTCTATTTTAAAACATATTGTCATGACCTGCTCGTTCGATCCTCGTGTGTGCCACGCCCACCTCGTTACCTCATGTTGATTCCCGATTGTCATCACCTGTTGCCTATTGTTTTCTGCCTATCCTGTGTATTTAGTCCGCGTCTGGGTCAGTATTCCCCAGTCCGGTCATTGACGTTGTGTGCTGTTCTACTTGTTTTGTCCAGTCCGCTCAAAATAAACCTCGTTTGCCTGAATCCCCGGCTCGGCTCGCTTGCTTCCCCGCTCGCCCGCAAGCCGATACAACACATATTTACATGTAAAAAATGACATTGATGTGCTGTGATGAAAATTCAATACTTATACATATTACTTCCTTTTTGAAAAACTTCAATCTAGTGCAGTCTCTCTTAACCCCCAAAAAAGTACAAAAACATTTTTCCAACTTGGCTTTCTTCCCCTTTCAAAACATTCTTGCATACATTTTTTGGGGGCAATTCTGGGCAGTTGGTATGATTCTTTTATAACTTCTGTTTGACTCCACTGCGAGCACTACATATCTGATGCGTTATAATTGCTTATATAATTGTTAATAGATTTTTTTTAAGAAAGAATCAAATCAGTGAAATACATTTTCTATCCAGGGGTCCTTAGCGCCCAGAAAAATGTTTTTCAATCAAATCAGATCACAACTGGGATACCTTTCTGGTGCTCCTGTCAATGACAGAATTTAACTACAACAATGGATGTGAAGAAACTTTCTAAGGTGATGATTAACTGGGGCAGGCTCACAAGGACACAGGCTAGACATTACTTCAGTAAATATCATGAATTTCAATTCAGGTAGCAAATACACCAGATACCAGAAAAGCAAACATCAGATCTAGGATGTACTGAAGCGGATGGAAAGAAAACAGTTTGTTGCAAATATAGGGCTTGTTCCTCTTTCTCGAGTGATATTATCATGGGATGTTTCTCAGATTTAGGAGAGGGGCAGGAGCAGCAAATGGAGGGGGCGTATATGAAATGAAACAGCATTTCAAAAGATGTCCCCATTTCTCACAGAGGTTACCCAACGTCTAATAAAGGCACATTCAGTTTTTCTTATCAATCACAAGACGCATAAGCCCTAGACACACTGCAACTCAGCCAGTAGCCTCTGCAGTTTGCTTATAGTGTGATGTGTTATGGTGCTATGTATGTAGTACACTGCGTTCACAATGGAGAAGTCAGGACACAGCTGGGCTAGTTACTTCCTGGCTTTAGCCTTTTATCCTTCAATGTGTTTCCTTCCCATTGGCTTCATGGTAAAATTATGCTTCAAAATTTACTGCCTCATACTAAAATTGGATGTGTGAATTTTATTCATAATGTCAGAGATTTACCATCAAACACACAAAGGTCAAACCACAGTCTGATGTCCATATAAATATGTGGGAAATTTCAAAACAAGTCTTCACAAATCTTTGTTTCAAACTAAAAAGAACTGACAGAGATATATACACTACAATTTTAGGCATAGATTTTGCGTAATAATTTGGGTATAAGTTGACTATCCTTCCTAGCCTGTTGTACAAACATTACATGACACCTGGGCTTTCAGATGCCAGTGACAAAATAGTTACTTATATCATGAAGATGGTTAACTGGCGTAACATTCTGGGTGGCATTAGGTGTCTATTAAGAATACCCCAGTAATTTAGCCAATACTTAATATGTCATATTAGTAACTAAGCAACAAATGTGAAATGTTTTTTTTCTAAAAACACTCAGTATATGGTGACTGATGGGAATTCATGAGTAAAACATATATAAAAGCAGTAAGGTATATTAACATTTCTACAGACTTATAGGTTGCCACAAGATCTGTCTTATGATTTTATGGTGTACTCATTACAGTTATACCAATATTATGACTTAAATTCACAATATCATAAAATTCTGTACATTTGAAGTGCTTATTAGATAGGCAGGTTGACTGAAGTGATAAAGGGAAACCGGAGCCCAAATGGAGTCCCTTTCACTCGTACCTTCAAAGTAATTGGAGCCCGAATGGCGTTCACGTCGCACATCTTCTTACGGGCCTGGAAGAAACGGAGCCCGAGTGAAGTCCATGTCACATACCTTCCTACTAGTGATGGGTCGTTCTTGAACGATTCGTTCATTTTGAATGAATCTTTAATGTGACTCGGGAAGAACGAGTGGTCTCGTTCTTCCCGAGTGATTCCTTCAGTCGCGGATGCGCATTTGCGCAACTTCCTATAGTTTCTGTATTGGAATGATTTATTCACCTGTTTCCAGCCTTCGGGTTTTTCGCGTCGTTCGTTCATCACGTGACAGCCCCATAAGCTTAGCCTAGTATGCAGTCTGAGCCGGAAACAGAATTGATTAGTTCATCTCTTGAGTCTTTCGAGTCGTTCGTTCTTTTGTCACGTGACCAATTACCGGCTCAGTACCTGTCAAATACTAACGTAAAATTCCATTTGTTGTATGTTGGATCATATTTAGAAATTATCATAAAATTATCAAAAATATCTAAAACGCATTTTCTTCTAAATAAAAAAGGTCTGTCAATTTCTGTCACTATGATTTTTTTACTGTTTCTTGAGGATCTGTGGTGTGTTATTTTATAAATAAATAATCCTGTTACAAATAAATTATTGATTAATTTGTCCTTTCATTGTCTTTGTCTATCATTAAACAAACACTAGGCTATATAATAAAATAATCCAAGCCTACAATTACAAAGTACTTATAGTTAATAATCGTACACTATATTCTATAGCAGTGTTCATTTTTACTCCAATTTTGAGTTTCCTGGTATAATAATTGTTTTTCCTATGCAGGCTTAACATATTGATCTAATATTTGTATAAAAAGATTGGTCAAAAAGGACATAATGACAAAGTAAAAGCAAATAACATTTTGAATTTGAATGATTAAGGTTAGTTTAAAATATTAAGGTTTTGATAACTTAAACTAATTAATAATAATAATAATAAACTATGCACCCGTTTGTAAGGAAAGTTGTAAATTAGTAACTAATTTCTATATCCAGTGCTGTCACGTCACATAACATAAGAATGAAGGACTCGAAAGACTCGAGGAATGAACTAATCAATTCTCTTTCCGGTTCAGACTGCATAGGTTAAGCTTATGCTTATGGGGCTGTCACGTGATGAACGATCGACTCAAACCCGAAGACTGGAGAGATGAACTAATCAATTCTGTTTCCGGCTCAGACTGCCTTGGTTAGCTAATTGGGCTGTCACGTGATGAACGAACTGCTCAAACCCGAAAACTTGTCAGATAAGAGGCGAGGTGAGCGAATCATAGACTAAAAACCCAGGTAAACAATGAATTAATATTTTCTGTTTCTTATAGCATTATAGTTTTGTCTTGTTTGTAGTGTGATCAACATTTGTGTAAGCAGTAGATGTGTTAGGGAGGTAACAGGTAACATTTTAATTATATTTTGCTAAAATGAACGAAATGACTCGAAAAAGGATTCGTTCATTTTGCTGAACGAGACTCAAAGGTCCGAGTCGGTAAAATGATCCGAACTTCCCATCACTACTTCCTACGGGCTTCAGAGGAACTGAGCCCCAATGGTGTCCAAGTCGCACGCCTTCATACGGCCCTAGAAGAAACTGAGCCCGAATGGAATCCCTACTCCGTCTTGAAGTATCCCTCCGCCTATAGGGGTGTTCTCAGGCTGGCCCGACCGCCATTTTGAATGTCAAGTTTGCTCCTTCCTCTGTCGCAAATAGAGAAGATTCCAGTTTCCTTTTGGTGTCACTACGCCCGGTGAGTTCTACACTCGCAGAAATGGCGCGGTTAATTGTCTCACCTCTCCGCGAGATGTGTGATATATTTATACAAGAGCACATTTGTTTTTTCGTGTAGGTTTGGCAGCTAGTTAAATACCGGGGGTTGTCTCTGGGAAATCGTTCAGTGTAGCTAGCTGGTCTAGCGCTACTCCAGGCAGACATTAACGGAGATTTAACGGTATAAAGTGGTTAACTGGAGAATTGGGCGGCTTACACTACATTGCTAGAGTTTTCTGTTAGATTGACCAAATCGTACTGTCTCCACATTAGATTATATGTTTAAAAGGGAGTGTTGTGAAAGAGGCCCCGGTAGACGTTAGCCCGCCCGTGAGAGTACGTAGTATTACCAGCTGGCTCTTGCTGCCGGAAAATGCAGTTTTTATAGAGGTCGGCCTGGGACTCCTTCAGTTATTAACCCGAGTAGATGTGTTAGCAGCATTGCAGCATTTGCGGTTCAACGATACGCTAGTTTGATTTACACTGGCTAGCCCTGAAGAGTGAACGCAGATGACTAGCGAGCAGGTCCGCTAAGCTAACCTGAAGTAGTTAACGTGCCTGCTTACCTGTCTGCCTGCGTGGCTGTTTTTATTCAGTGAGTATTTTAGCCGGGGGCTTAGCTCTAGGGATATAATAGCTAACCAATTTTAACGGACCGGTTTAGTGGAAACAGGTGTGTGACTGAATTAAACATCGCTTGTCGTTCAGCTACCTGAATTTGGAGGGGGAAAACATTTACCTCGCATTTCCATACTTGTTTCTGCAGCAAGTACTGGCATTATTGCGTGACTGTTGTTACATAGTTTCTGATCTCTTTAAGCTGGCGGTATAAACAAATTAGGTCGTTATAAAAAGCAGCCAAAAAGACCGACACAATATTTTACTATGAAGAGTTTTGTGATTAAACTAACCTATAACGATGAATTAGTGTATCTGAATTGATCCCGTTGCTACTAGTTTGATAACTTGTCTATAGGCTAGTGGATGAATAGTAATGTTTTTTAAATGGTTGATTTCTGTGGGTCATGTATGAGACCACTTTCAGTATTCATTTGAAAGGGTTTGACAGTTATGTCACATATAACTGATCGACCATAAGAAATCTACCCAGACCAGCCATCCATCTACCATACTTGCTCTTTCAGTACACAGTCGTGGTGGGTACCCATGCCACTTTTTAAAAATAATGGTACTAGAATTTAATGAGTTTGGACAGCATTAACTACTAGTAATGTCTTCACTGAATCCTCATCGTTTACACCTCCCTGATAAATGTGGTTGTCATTGGTGCACTGTGTCCTGTCACTCCACAGGGACTGTTAACACACCAGATACGTTTTTGTTTGTTTCCCGTTGACGGCTGGCCTGCACTCTGTGTGCGTCTGCTTCCTCCAGAATTAGCTGCTGATGCAACGGTGATTTGACCTGGCGTATGTCTCACGCTGCGATTGTGAGGGCACAGCGTGCTGAATGCCATGCAGATCGTGGTGAAGCTTCTTGACTTTATGCTGCTGACAAGGTGTCTGGCTGCAAAGTTCTGCAGAGCCCAGCGAGCTCGCTCAGCCCTGCTGCAAGAAAATGACTTACGCCACCTCTGTTTTTCTGTGTTAAAACCAGGCTTGGTGCTTAACACTGAACTAACACTGAACAGACACTTGGAGCCTCTAAGTCATGCCTCTGATGTGATGTCTGCACACTGTGGCCGTTTATAAATGCTTGTTGTTTCAGGAAAAATATGCACATCAGATTTGTTCTTAGTTTTTAGAATTCCACAAAAATCACTATGAAAGTGCCATTACCAGACATTTAGGAATAACTGGAAAAAAACCATACTTTTGGATCACCCTTTTTCTATGGTAATAAATTATACTATGCAACTTTCAGCTAGGTGTTGTGTCTTAAAGAGAAAAAAAGTCACCGGTCACCTGAGCCTTTCTGATATAGCACATTGAGCCTGGTGATACCAAGGCAGTGGGGAACTGTAACACAACTTTAATGTATTACATGTGTATTAACTGTATTGTCTGTCATTAAGCAGAATGTTTCACGGATATGCCTTGATACTTGTGCTATAAAAGAAGAGATGGAAGAAATGAATCTTATAGCTAAGCATGTGGTTGATGAATGTTTTATTGGGGTCTGTGGTTTGAAACCTTAGTGCTTGCTCCATTAAATGGAATGGAATTTCAGCACGCTTTCATTTCAGATTGAACTATATGCTGCAACCATATAAAGTCCCCTGGGGTTTATTCAGCAGTATATAAAACAAATATTCTTTTTGAAATCATAAGCCTGGGAGGAAAGTCACCTGTTTAAAGTTGAGGAAACAATATTAAAATGCATATACAGTTAAGATACTTTAAATAGACATAATATCCTAACCTTCTAAGCTGTCATGCAGGTTAGCACATTTTATCCATATGTTTTATATAACTGTCAAAGATAGCATTAAGCATCATTTTTATATTATACTGTGAACTTCAATTGATGGGTGTTGTCATTTATTTATTTTTTCAAAAAGAGGATGCCAGCTCCAATCAGACTACGGGAGCTAATCCGGACCATCCGGACTGCTCGGACCCAGGCAGAAGAACGGGAAATGATCCAGAAAGAATGCGCTGCTATTAGATCTTCTTTCCGAGAGGAAGATAATACGTACCGCTGTAGAAATGTTGCTAAGCTCCTCTACATGCACATGCTGGGCTACCCGGCACACTTTGGACAAGTAAGTGGCGAGACTTGGTCAGTTTGACAGGCCTTAAACACTTCTGCTTCTGTGCCAAAAGTAATATATTAAACATTTCTTCCCATTTCCTTTTAGTGGTCATTGTGCTGTGACTTAAATTTCAAAGTGATGATTCTGTCTTTCAGCTGGAATGCCTGAAATTGATTGCATCTCAGAAGTTTACAGACAAGAGGATAGGGTATCTAGGTGCCATGCTGCTGCTAGATGAGAGACAGGATGTGCATCTCCTAATGACAAACTGCATCAAGAAGTAAGGAACTGCTCACTTCAGTGGAATCCCATTTGCACATTCGTTTCTGAAGCATTTTTATTTGCCTAACGGGTATTACACTATGATTTATCCGCCTTAAGTAAACAACACCTTTTGGTTACGCTTCTGCTTGCCTGTTTCTCTTCCTTTCACCAGCGATCTCAATCACAGCACACAGTACGTCCAGGGTGTGGCCTTGTGCACCCTGGGTTGCATGGGCTCAGCAGAGATGTGTCGTGATCTGGCCGGAGAAGTGGAAAAGCTCCTCAAGACGTCAAATTCCTACCTAAGAAAAAAGGTGCCTTTGCAGCACAATCCTGCTTGTTGCACATAAAACTGCACTGTCTGCAAAGTAGTCAACTGTTGTTGCTCAACTTCTTTGAACTGCAGAATTTGCCAGTTATGGGTTATGTTGGCTACCTGACAGTTTGGGCTGTGGATTTTTAAGCTGCATGATGTTCATTATTTATTTTCCTGTGGTGTATTTGAGAGCTGATGTAGTGGAAGGCTGAACAGATACAGTACTGTATGCAAGTCTTGGGCTGGCAGAGAAAACTGTTTAAAGTATGTTTTTGTTGGTGTAAATTTTATATCCATCAAAGTGTGTTTAGCTATTTTAAAACCTCTCCTGACATCCCCCTAGTACTGTGGGGAGATTTGTGGCTCTGCAGGTTAGGTCTCTCTCACATGGTTGCCAGTTCAGATCATGTGATTGGCAGAGTGATGCCACTGTTGGGCCCTTAAGTAAGGCCCTTACCTCAGTTGCTCCAGGGACTGTCTGACCCTCTTTCTGAACCGTATGTCGCCTTAGATAGAAGCGTCAGCTAAATACAGTCGCCCTTTCAGATTTTCAGCGGATAAAGGGGGAAGATCCTGGCGAATGTGAAAATCGATGCATAATATTAATATTTAGAATGCACTTGGACTCTATTAAATGACACTAATATTTATATGATATAGATCATATTCAGTATTGTTTATATATTTTTAGCTTATGCGTTATCCGTGAGTTTCTGCGATATTTCGGCAAGCTCCGAAAATTTTCCCATCTAATTGTTCACGGCCAACTCGCAAATAATCAAAACCATGAGTGTCAAATTCACACATGTGGAAGGGTAACTGTAAATGCAATGTATTATTTCCAGTAACCATCCAGTATACCCATGTAAACCATTGACTCAAAGACAAGCATACACTATGCCTGGCTAATCAATACCTTATCAAGTTGTTTTATTAATCTGGTGGTGAAATTTAACAGATAAATGGAATATATTTTGCAGTGTTTGTGTGAGTTCATGTTTATAACAATATCACTTGTCTCACTGCAGGCAGCATTGTGTGCAGTCCATGTGATCCGGAAGGTGCCTGAGTTAATGGAAATGTTTCTTCCAGCGACAAAAAACCTACTGAATGAGAAGAATCATGGTGAGACATAAGAATGGATGGTGAAGGGACGGGTGTTTAACTGTCACCTCAGACCTGTCTTTGCCAAGGGCCCTGGTGGGACTGCTTATATCTTAATAGATCTGCACTGGTCTCCTCATGTTGACGTTGTATTAAGTGACTCGCCTCGTTTGCTTGACAGCACCAGGGGGTGTGATATATAGGTGAGCTAATCTGCGTGCGGTGCTTCCTCGTTTCAGGTGTCCTGCACACGTCTGTCGTTTTGCTCACAGAGATGTGTGAGCGGAGTCCCGACATGCTGGCACACTTCCGGAAGGTACAGCTTGGCTCTCTGTTTCTCATACGCCTTTGCCTCTCCTTTTCCTCTGCCCAGAGGCACTGCTCGGTTCGGGGTCTGATACCTCAGTTCTGATACCTCTCTTTACTCAGAGTTCTGGAGCAGTTCCAGAATTTCAGGAATTCCATTTCCAGTTACCGAAAGATCGTAATCTGTCTCATTGCTTTAAAGCAGTGTTTCCCAGTCTGGTTAGTGGGGACCCACAGATGGTCCACGTTTTTGCTCCCTCCTGGCTCACAAAAATGTGGACTGTCTGGCAGGGAGCCAGGAAGGAGCAAAAACTTGGACTGGTTGTGGGTCACCAAGAACTGGATTGGGAAATACTGATTTAAAGTCATGAACCTGTGTCTGTGGATGCACAGCTAGGCTATATTGAGACATGGGGTTGCATATGTGTGAAACTGGACTTCCACAGGCCCGGTCTCTGCCCCCTGTACAAGCTGTCAGCTGAGATGAATCAGTAGCTGTACCTCCTTTAAATTTCTCTCTAAATGAAACTTTTCCGGTTCTCCCTAACATCTACCTCATTTTTCTGTCATTTGTCTTTGTTACAATTCCTGCATTGTGTTAGAATGAGAAGGTAAGAGGACGTTTGGTTGATTGCTGGTGCATGCCCATGCCAAGATATTTAAGGTCATTGTAGGTGTAGTGCAATTTTTGTGGAAGTATTGTTTATTACTTTGGAAAGTCACTTATTCTGTTGTCTTTGCCAGTCTTGGCAGGCTTTATATGTTTATTTGCTTATTTATTTGTAATACATGCATTCTTGGCCATTATACAGTCTTTTCACTTCAGCAAATCATTTTATGACTGTATAATTACATTCACATTCAACTGAATGTCAATTTGCATAAGTATGCTCAGTTAATTAAATTGGATAGTTAGGAATCATAGATTACATTTCACAATTTGGCAATTTTATTATTTGTAGGAATAGTAATGTAATCTTTAGAAAAAGAACATTTTATCTAACATTATACCAACATTGCTTTTATAAAGCGGTATATGTCTATATAACATTTCCGTACACAAAGACTTGCTGAGTAAAAAGTTTTTTCAGCAAATTAACAATGGATATTTACGAATAGATGGTTTACTTAAAGGTATAAATGTTTAATTTACAGGACATGTCAATGACCGTCTTTCTGGCAACTCTATACAGCTGTGTATTTATTTTCTTGAGCAATATCTGTGTGTTGATGTGTCTTCAAACAGTTCCATTATCACAGACTCTGCCTCTGTTGCTCACATTTCAGTTGGTCCCGCAGCTGGTCAGAATTCTTAAGAACCTCATCATGTCGGGCTACTCACCAGAACATGATGTGTCTGGTATCAGTGACCCATTCCTACAGGTAATGGGTCTTGCCTGCGATTCGCATTCAATAAATGCATGTGTTTTAGGAGTGATCAGTGACATTTGCCGTTTCAGGTGAGAATATTGAGGTTGCTAAGAATTCTGGGAAAAGGCGATGACGACTCCAGTGAAGCCATGAATGACATCCTTGCACAGGTGTGATTTATCACTTTGTTTTTCTTCATGTTTTTTCATGAACTTACCAAAATTAAGTTGTAGAGCGGTTAGGTTTCACACATTCAGTGCCCACCATAGCAAATCATCTTCTCTACCTTTTCTAGGTTGCAACCAACACAGAGACAAGTAAAAATGTTGGCAACGCCATCCTCTACGAAACAGTGCTGACCATTATGGACATCAAGTCAGAAAGCGGACTGAGGGTCAGACTGGTTCTATTCTCTTCGGGGGTGGGGGGGGCAAGCACGTATACAAGTAACTTGTTTTAATTTGTAAAGATGTGTGCATTGAAAAGTTATTAAACTCCATTTTTATGTAGGTATTGGCAATTAACATCTTGGGACGCTTCCTACTAAACAATGACAAAAACATCAGGTGAGTGATTTATAGCGCTATGGTCATTAGGAACTGAGTAGATGTGTGGGCAGAACATGATACACTTTTTTTTTATTGTTTTGTTCAGATATGTAGCACTAACATCCCTGTTGAAGACTGTACAGACTGACCACAATGCTGTGCAGAGGCATAGAAGCACCATTGTAGACTGCCTGAAGGACCTTGATGTGTCCATCAAAAGGTAAGTAAGACAGGTGTGTTCATCATTGCGAGACACTCGTATGATCTGTTGAAGTCCCTCTGTGACCGTCGGATGGCTGACACATTGGTGCTTTCCCCAGACGAGCGATGGAGCTCAGCTTTGCACTTGTGAATGGAAACAATGTCCGTGGGATGATGAAGGAGCTACTTCACTTCCTGGACATGTGTGACCCTGAATTTAAAGCTGACTGTGCATCAGGAATCTTCCTCGCTGCAGAAAAGTAAGGTTTTTATCCATGAAGATAAAAAGATTAAGAGGTTGGGTATTGTGGAGTGTACGATATGAATCTACACCCTTGTGCAAATTAATTGAAACGGGTAATACTTTTTCACAATCTGATTTTTTTTTCATTCCGGAAAGCCAACATTATGCCTTCATTAGTCACCTTTTCAGTCGATTGGGGTTACATCATCAAACGCAGGAAATTTCATCATTGTTACATTTTCTGACTAGTCAGGCATCTTCAGCATGATTAACAACTCTGAGCTATTAGCTAAGTTCTCCCCAAACGAGCTTGATGGGCCGAATGGCCTCCTCTCGTTTGTAAATTTCTTATGTTCTTATGTTCTTATGATCTCGCCCTGTGCCGTATGTCGAAAATGGATAGGAATTTCATCAACGAGAAGAAAACTAAGGTACTTTAATTGGCCTGTAAACTCTGGATTTAAACCCTATAGAGCAGGGGTCTCCAACTCCAGTCCTGGAGAGCTACTAACCAGTAGGTTTTCTATCCTACCTGGCTTCTGATGAGCCACACTAGTTCTCAGGTAAATACCAGGAGCAAGTGGGGCGCATGAGAAGCCAGGTAGGATAGAAATCTTACTGGATAGTAGCTCTCCAGGACTGGAGTTGGAGACCCCGGCTATGGAGAATTTGTGGTCAATCTGCAAGCAGTGCCTTCATGGAATGGATTATAACACAAAAGATAAGCTTATTCAGGCGTTAATTCAAGTATGGTACTGGGACCCCAAGATCACTAAAGACTGCTCAGAATTGTTGGATTGTGTGTCCAATTGCATCCAAATGCTACGGGGAAAATAACCCAAGGAGGTCATATTGTATGTTGAAATGTTGATGCTTTGAATTTGTTTCAGTTAATTTGTACAGGGGTGTATGTGTGGAGTTCTGTGAGATCTGCAGGTTCTTAATATTTATTAAATTGTTCCATGATAAGTATACTGTGTGTTTAACTCCCTTTGATTGCTTAGTATGCAATTCAAAAAATAACTCTAGTTCTTTATGGTCAAGAACAATGTTGTATGTTCTCAGCATTTTGTCTTGCTTGTTTTAAAAGTAGATAAATCTGCGTTGTCTCTTATGTTGCACTTCTGGTTCTTGCTTTGTCATAAGTGGTGTGTAGTTGTTGTTGTTATGTAGCTTCTCCTCCAATACTGCTTACACTTGTTTGGCCAGTCACTGAGGCTCAGCCTAGTTGCACATATGCCTAGTTGACTGCTAGACACATATGTTTCCAATGTGGTATTTGCCTCATATGTAAATGAAAATGTCTTCTGCTGTGTTGACTTCAGGCTTTGTGTTTTGCTTACAGGTATGCACCCTCAAAAAGATGGCACATAGATACCATTATGAAGGTCTTGACAACGGTATGATTCCTGCTGGTTTAGGGAGTGTGTATTATTACTATACAGTACTTTTGTACTGTATATAAGATTTGATGGATGATTATTTATGTAAGCATAAAGATGAGTCTCAAAGCAGTGACAGCAGCTTGTTTATGTCTAAATGACACAAGCCTCAGGTAACCGTGGCTCTATACTTCACTTAGGCGGGCAGTTATGTGCGAGACGATTCTGTGCCCAACCTCATACAGCTGATCACCAACAGTGTGGAGATGCACTCATACACAGTGCAGAGGCTATACAAAGCTGTGCTGGACGACATCTCGCAAGTAAGTGGCCAAAGAACTTGTTTTATGAGCACTGCAGAACGGAAACATGTCCATGCGGATTATTTGTTAGGATGTCACAAAAGTTTGTGTGTGTGGGGGGGTAACTGTCACCTTTGACATACTCATACAAATGGCTGTTCCTTCTCATGCTGACCCTGTGTGAGTGTCAGCCTTGCAGTAATGAGACTGACGAGGTATTGCCCCAGTTTGCTGTTTTTTTTTTTTTTTTCCTTTTTCCTTTTGATTGTCATAATGTGAAGACGTGTAGGGGTTTTTGGAACAACACGCACCACAAGCAGTATGCAAGCGACGATTTGCAGCGTTGACATCTCCAGGAATACATCTCAGCTTGCCGTCAGTTGTTGGGAATGAATCATCTGTGTGTTATTGCACAGATGGGGGATGACAGATTGCTTTTTAAAAACAGAATATCAAAATGCTTCAGCATGGCCCCACACCATACTGACACCCCCCGGGGGCTTTGTGTTCTCTCTATAATCTGTGTGGATCTTTCTTTTTCTTATCAAAGTCATCCGAAAGTTGCCCTTCTCGATAGGTTAAGGAGAAGCAAACGGTATCTTGCATATGGCACTGAACTTGTTCTTCTGTTTGCTGGCTGTCTTATTTTCAGCAGCCCTTGGTACAGGTGGCATCCTGGTGTATGGGCGAGTATGGTGACCTGCTGGTGTCGGGTCAGTGTGAAGAGGAGGAGCCCATCCACGTACGTACCCTGTGCTGCTGCTTATTCAGTGAGTCTTTCCTACATCTGCAGCATAACCTCAGTGTCTTCTGTCTACTGTGAATTACACACAGGTCACAGAAGATGAGGTGCTGGATGTTTTGGAAGGCGTCCTTGTGTCCAATCTGTCTTCTCCGATAACTCGGGGCTATGCGCTCACAGCAATTATGAAGCTCTCCACGCGTTTCAGCAGTGTGAAGTACGAACTTTTACTGCTGTGACTGTGACATAACTTTTCTCACTCTGTTTTCTCTGCTCGATCAGATGTCATTTTCCCATGTGTGTGTTTGTGTGCTTGCAGTCGAATCAAGCGGGTTGTGTCAATATATGGGAGCAGCATCGACGTGGAGCTCCAGCAGAGGGCTGTGGAGTACAATGCGCTTTTCAAGAAATATGACCACATGAGGTATGTCACAATCACATCACTCTCCTATCACGCTTTGATTGTTGTCCTTGGCTCGTCCTCAGTTGGTCTTCTGTGGCTCTTTACTGTAATGTGCTCTTTAATTGACAAAATGTAAACAGGTTTAGTTGTGTACTATAGGTCAGTGTTACTGTTTCCTTTTTCTTTTTTCATACTTTTAGAGGGAAAAAAAACACTAAATATTGTCCTTATGTGAACTCACATGCCTGTGTTTAATATGTAAGGACTCACACATACTTGTTTAAAAATCGTTGTGGAAGACAGGACTTTCTTTGAAATGGCCGGTATGAATGGCCAGATCCCTGAATGGCTGTGGTTCAATAATTATGTTATCATGCTCACATTGTGTATGTATTGCAGATTTTTTTTTTTTGTAAATTATATGCATGACAAAGTTCTGTCAACCCTCTCACTTTCCATAACTGCCTACCGCTTATGAGCATTGGACAGTCGATCTGTGATTTGACCCTGAAGTCCCCATTGTTCCCCCCACCCCGTATTGTTCTTTTGCCTGTAGGTCTGCCTTATTAGAGCGAATGCCCATCATGGAAAAAACCACCACCAATGGCCCCACAGAGATACTGCACACCAATGGGGAGGCAGAGCCTTCGGTTCGGGACTCCAAACACCCTCCCAACATCCCACAGCCTTCTTCCCAAGTGAGGGAAACATAATCTCATAGCCAGCATGGGTCCAACATGTGCTACTCACTGGGGTGCAAATCTGTTACTGTTACTGAGTGGCCAATGACTGTGCCTTCCTCAGTTTTGAAACATGCCATTTTTGCATTAAATGCATGATTTGTTTAATTGTTGCCCACTGAGTCAGCTCAGATGTCATTTATTGACACCTTCACTATGACACTTTAAATTATACTGTTTTAAGGCTGTGAATTGTATCTTTGCTGAAGGCTAATGATCTGTTAGACCTTCTGGGAGGGAACGATGTAGTGCCTGTGATCCAGACTGAGCTGCCCACGAAACCAGCCTCCTCTGGTGGGGAGTTACTGGACCTACTGGGGGATCTTTCGCTCTCAGGTAGGATGGAGTCCTGCTTCATTGCCAACCCTTTTGTGCTTTGCCTGGTGTTTCTGGTATTTGTTCTCAGAGTAGCTCCTGACAGAAACTATTTTAAGGTGATCCAGTTATGACCTGATTTATACCAAAATGTTTGTTTTTGAAAGCGGCTATTTGAATCATGTGGATCCCCGTAATCTAGTCTCTGATGTGCATCAGGTTTTTGTATGTGTCGTGCATGGTGATGAGGCAAGAATGTTATTCTTGGAAAGAGGCGTATGTACCTGTGAAAGCAATGCTTCCACCAATGTAAATGGAAGGCTATTAGGGGAGTGATTCATTTAACTGAACAGTATCTTCGCATCCTGAAGAGAATGTTATTGAGAAACAAGGTTCTTGCACAGCAGTGGAGAGACATCCTGTCTACCTCGCTTATTCCATTTTCCATGCTCTGCCTTCCCCTTGCTCTGGCTGCTGTAAACTGGGAGGCTTCCTCCCGATTCCTCAGCACCTTCTGGTGCATCACTGAAGCCAGCTGCTGTGCTCCGCCGGTCCCATGGAGCCTTTGACTTGGGGGATGCTGGGGGGTTGGGCATGCGTGGGGTGTAGCGAGACCCGAGTGCAGAATCTGTCCCAGCTGGACGCAGATGGCTGCCACGTGTGAGCAGTGGATGGTTCCATGCCACCCTCCTGCCAAATTGGACGCTCTAAGCTTGTTGTGTTTGTGAAGTGAGCCTGCAGGATTTGCCAGCTGTGCTGGCTATAAAACTGACTTTGATGGTGCAGCTCAGTTATAATATCTGTCAGGTTTAATGACCCAAGAGCTGAAAGACAATATTTAGAAGTTGCCCAAAAAGTCATTTTTGAGCCTGAAAAATGCATATTATTCCATGCTGTTATATTGCCCTGCTGCTCTGAAAAGGTGTGTTCTGCTCCAAACCCAGGTGTCCCAGCCCCTGCTGCTCCCATCTCTGTCTCGCAGCCCACCTTCCTGCTGGATGGCATCTCCTCCCAGCCCCTTTTTAATGATGTTGCAGGAGGTGAGAGTGGCACCTTGCACACAGCCATTCTGGGTCGTCAGTTTCCCAGGAAGTGTCCCCATACAGTATATGTCCTCTAGGAGGCACATGTCCTCTAGTACAGTCACTTAGGTTTAATATTATATGAATTCTCGATTCCCTATAGTGCAAGAATTTTTGTAGCCATTTAATCAGTGTTAAATGTATTTGTTTTTCCCCATTTTTAGCCATTCCACCAATGACAGCCTACAATAAAAATGGACTGAAAATAGACTTCACATTTGAAAGGTCCAATTCAAATCCCAATGTGTCCGTTATTACCATCCATGCGTCCAACTTGACCGAGGTAGACATGGCTGATTTTGTATTCCAAGCTGCGGTACCAAAGGTGAGGTGTCTTTCACTGTAGTTGCAGTGCTGAGAATTACCGTATTACCACCCAAACAGACCAAAAATTTGAGTAACAATAAATGAGGGGCAGTTAAGCAGGAAATATTAACCGACGTGGCTTTTCTCAGACCTTCCAGCTGCAGCTCCTCTCCCCCAGCAGTAATGTTGTTCCTGGACTCAACAAGGGAACTGTCACACAGGTGATCAAGGTGCTGAACCCACAGAAGGTACGTGCTGTTCCCCCACAGAGTATATAGAGCTTATTTTAGTTTACTTGCTGGGAGAGTAATCATTGATTTTTATATTAATTTTTTATGTATTTTTTTTAATTCCCAGCAACAACTTCGCATGAGGATCAAACTGACTTATACCCATAAAGGGTCTTCGGTTCAAGATCTGGCAGAGGTCAACAATTTCCCCACTCAGTCCTGGCAGTGAAGGGTTGGCTCTTGCTCTCAAAGACCCCTCCTCCCCCACCTGCTAAATGAACTATGGGAAAGACTGCCCCCCCGCCCAAACTGTGATGTCAGCACAGACTGGTACCCCGAGGTGGCCCGGGGGAAACAGGATTCCTTCAGACACAATATGATGATGATGATGCGTCTGACGATTAGCTCAGCAAAAGTATCTGACGACATATCCATTTAGCAAGTGCGACTGGTGTCAGTGCCATCCCCGATGTCCACTTCACCTAAGCACTACTCTGACGCACGCAAACACGTGCTGCTGCCGGGGAGGCATGCAGAGCCAGGAGCTGCTTCATATCAGCAGTTCCTCTGCTAAAAGGAGTCCCTTTCATGTTTTTAGCAGTTCTTCATCTAACTAAATTGTCAGGATGCCTTTTATTTCTTGTTTAATGTCCCCTCCAGAAATGAAATACAGCAGAAGGTTAGTTTTTTGCACTTTAATCACTTCTCCCTGTGTACTGTGGGGAATTACGACGTGGCTGTGGGGTTTCTGGCTCTTTCTGGGTTTTGTTAGTATGTCATTTATTCTCCAGTTTGGTGTCTTGGTCTTAATTTCTGTAATAAAAATCATCCATCTTCAGGCTAGGTACAACCCTTTTGGTCCAAATACTATGCTTCTGGTTTTTGGCATGTTCATATAAAACTGACTAATTCAGCCTAACTTAACCAGTTGCAGATTGTCAGTGTTTTGGCTGAAAATTCAGCCTTGCATTCTTTTAGCAATAATGTTGAAATTGAAAGGGAAAAAATATATCTTGTTGAAATGGTTATTTCCCCCATTCCAGTTTGAATGAGGATTAAACTTGGAATTGGAAATGTACACTTCATTTGGAATATAGGGTTGCATGTTAATTTGTTTGGCCTATTTATTTCTTTATTTTTCCCTGGTTACCATGCTAATGTGACTAACAGTCTTTAAAAACTGCAGCCAAAGTGCAGTACATTTTATGCATCCCAAATTTTCTCATGGCAGTTACCTTTTGGCAAAATCACCCTTTTAATGCATTACAGAATGAACTGTTGTCATTAGTACACAACGTATAGTACACAACATTGTCATGTCAATGAATTCTTATTTCATTGACCATATTGTTTTTTCACCTAATTCTCCTTAAGGTAAACACATCACCAGATCACAACCCAATCTCATGCTGATTTTTTTTAAATTTACCAAACCAGAATCCTAACATTTGTATCCCCACTACAGAACCACTATGACTACTTACTGTCGAACTTGAATTTGGCATTTCAGAACCCACAGTTCCTTGAATGTTTTTTTTGAAGTCTTACTACAACTGTTGTAGGTGATGTAGCCAAGCAGTGTTTGTGTGCAGTGAGTACATGTATATTATTTTGAGTCTCATGCAGTTTTTTTGTCGTCATGTTTTATCTGAAGTTTCTGTCTGGTTTAAGCACCTATGTGGTGGTTTTTCACTGTCTCCCCTCCATTCACCCTTCTGCAGGCAGGCAGCTTTCATGGAGTTTGCAGTGATACTTATGTCCTGCCCAGTAATGCTTGAACAGAGCAATGTGCCTTTTTTCCTTCTCTGATGTATGAAAGATCTTGATGTTGAAGAGGAATGGTTTTTAGGCATCTTGCTACTGTATTGCCGTCTGGAAAATCAGGGCAATTACACCATAGGTCATCGATATGTGGATTTGAATACCTCAAGCTGTTGAGGCATGTTATATGGGATTCAGTGCTGTGGCTGCACAGCAAGCATTTTCTACAGGATTTTGTTCAACTGGTTATTGTCAGAATATCCATTCATTTCAGATGACCTGATTTATTTTGTGACACTATAGAGCCATTTTATTTTTCCCTCTTGGTTGTTTATACATGAATCTTCATGACCAGATCACCAGTTATTTATCAGAGTAAATCCCTACCAATGTAACATGATCTAAATCGAAAAGTGTGAAATGAATGACTTTATGCAATATTGGAATTATATGGTATGTACAGAAGATGTTGGGACTTCCTTCCCCATTCAGTTTTATGTACAGCTTTCATAAAATTAATTTCAGGAGAGCATGATGTGGTGAAATGTTTCTACTAAACCCATAAACCCAGTTTTCATGTTCGTGTGTGTTAAAATTGTAGTGTCCTATGTTTGTAGGTTTCTGCAACATTGTATCTACAGCTCCTACAATGTATTGCTTAATCTGGTTAAGACTGATAATTTAAGAAGCAAATTACTTTTTACCATGAACTATGTTTTCTTCTAAGTTTAATTGAGAATCTTTTTTGCATATTATATAACTGTAATGAGGCCAGATGTCTGATGTCAGACTGTAGTGCAATTTCACTTCCAGTCACTCTGAGTAGAATAATAATCAATCCCAGTTCTTATAAGATTTAACTGGCCAGATGTGTGGTGGTGTTGCACTGAAATAATTGGGTTTGTTCACAGTGTCATGGTCTCTCGTGTGTAGTTTGTATAAAGGTTTGTTTTTCCAAATGCATTGTCATTAAGCTGGTTAATGTAAAATATGTATGAAAACTTTACCCAATAATGACATTTTGTAGGCGGGGCGCTGCAGGCCTTTGACGATCACTGGGGTGGGGGGCGTGGAACACAAGTGGAATTCTTTAAAAACAGATAGCACGTGTGTAAATTTTACACCTGTGTCTTACACTCACACACAGTAAGACAGGATGTCAGCTGCAAACATTTCAGTTCTTAGCTTCAGGGCTGCATGTGAGAACCAGTGTAAATATTTTCATTTCTACTCTTTAAGTATCTGCCTTTTGAAGTTTAAAGAGATTAAATCAACTGAACCACCACATCTCTTTGCTGAACTGGAACCTAAATGTACATTTAGAAGTGTTCAACTTAAACCTCTGTAAAAAAATAAATGCAAAAATTCACACCGTACCATTTTGGGGACAATAAAAGTGAGCTCACACCATTCTGCTTGATGCTATTGTCTCTGTCTTCCATCATCTTACAAAGCATAAGCTGTGATAGCCTCGAGTGTGCAAATCGATCACCAGAAATTTGACTTTACATCAACTGGAAATAAATTCTAAGGACTGAGCACTTAGGTTTATGATGACACATCATACCTAGGTGAATATAAATGTATGAACAAAAAAAATTGGTTTCTGCTTGTCAGTCTGGTAATGCTTAAGGCCAGGGGTGGCCAATCTTATCCGCAAAGGGCCGGTATGTATGCAGGTTTTCCCTGCAACTCCCTAATTAGGTCATGAAGTAAAGGACTGATTGGCTGAAGAGTCCTCACACCTGGGTTTGAACAGCTGACCTAAAGGTTATCCCAAAAACCTGCATACACATCGGCCCTTTGCGGATAAGATTGGCCACCCCTGCTTAAGGCTGTTCCCAAAGAAGGACATTACAAAATTCATCATTTCTCTAATGTTTTTGATTCGAAACTTGATGTTGTGCAGTGTTTATGTTGTTCAGCGTTACAGTGGCAAATCCATACCCATGAGCTGTGTGTCTGCCCCACCATGGTTTCCAATCTCGATATGGAACCCTGCCTTGCCAATCTGATGACTAGTGGATCCAGACTAGTGGAAGAAATAAATGAGCGTCTGGAGCAGGTGTGGGAAGATACCATAAGGCACCATAAGGTTCACGGTTAATGGGGCTGCGATCTGACACTTAAAGGTATACTGTATGTACGGAATCACTTCAGTAGACCTTTTCAGATTGAGCCAACTTTTTTTTTTTTTGGTTTATTACTGCAACAGAATACTGTGGTTTGTAGTAAACCTGTTGTATTCACCTTTGATAAATGGGAAACATCCTGTGAAATGGCTTCAAACCAATTTATTATGTCATTAAGTGAGTTCTTGCCTGTGCCATGCACAGACAAACCACACGGAAACTGATATGTACAGGGCTGGACTAGCCATCTGGCATACAGGGTATTTTTCCAGTAGGCCAATGGGTATGTAGGCTGACCACCCACCCCACACACGGCAAAATTAATGTGGGGTCATGGAGACCCCAAAGTCCAGAATTGAATTTTAATCTCAGTCCAGTCCTGGAATTTAATTAGCTGCATAAAATCATCTTTCATTCCTCTCCTACTTGAAGAGAATGACTTTTCATAACAGCTGGCTATTCTGTGAATTATTTTGTTCGAGTTCTTTCATCTACAACATTTGTTCAGAATCTTTCTGTGATTTGTTCACTTCCAACTCACAAGCTTTGGATATTTTTCACTCCATGAGTAGGCAGGGCTGCTAGGTTTGGTCAGCTGGCTGGCGTGATATTTTCATTCCGAGATAAGTCTGCATTTATGCAGTCATGCATTTATATGCATGTAACAGTTTTATTACCAAATATCTGTAGTGCTTTTGATGCATCTGTTAGGCTTATATTGGAATAATGTAGATTTGCCATAATATTCCTTGTGTGAGCGTCACGCCAGATGCATTGGCAACCCTGAGTATGGTGGTCCCCCAGAGATATCTTCCTGTCCGGTGGGGTGGTCTCCGTTAATGTTTTGTTTTTCCATCCATCCATATTCTATACCTGCTTGTCTAATGCAGGGTCATGGAGTGTTTTGCTATTTATTTATTAAATACTTTATGAATGAATGAGATTTATCAGCCAGGTGAGTTCGCACTTATGAGGAATTTGTTTTGGTATAACTGCAGTGGCATACAACAAACTATATTTATTAGATATTTATATAATTTTTAAAGAGTATATATTTGCAATGAATGTGTTAGGTTTCATTACACCTGTTCACTGTTCTGTATATCATTACACCAGTGGGTGGCGAAAGTTCAACTCGTTCACTTAAAATATTCGTCCAAAAAGATCGAATTGTGCAATTGTAATCAAAATAAATAGGCTCTCCCCGAAGCAATGCGGTACTTTCTACCTCGCCGCATTATTCTTTATGAAGACGACTTGAATGAAAGTTATTTATGTAAATGAAAGAAAGTCAATCTAGGTCTAATTGACCAGCAAAGGAAACATTTAACTTGAGCCTACCGCAAGCATCTCCGACTTCAAAACCGCTAAACCAGTTGGGTGACTACCTCCAGCACGTGACTGCACGCGCAATCACACGCACGCGCTCATTGAGCAGCGTTACGTACGCCAGACAAAGATGGCGGCCACGGCGGGGAAAGCAGCATGATTTGCAGGTGTAGAAGAACGCAACCTGAAGAATTATAGTATTATATGAGCGCTGGGAAAGCTAGCAAGATGACACTTTAGGGAATACATCCGTAGTAGTAATTCGTATACATTTTCTAAGTTTTCCCCGGAGGGAACGTTTTATTTTTTAGGCTTGGCGAAAAAGAAAACTCCCCAGAAGCATGGCTTCCCACAGTATCCAGGTAGCTAGCTATCCGAAACTCTCCTTCACTCCGTACTCGCGGGCTCAGTGCATTGCATGGCTTGGACAGCGACAAAAATGCGACGTCCGTTTTCCAAAGTATTTAACTTGTTGTGTATAGACGGTAGGCTCACGTGTACGTGCAGATGTAATGAGTAAGTTCGCGTCAAGTGAGGGGCAATTTATCCCGAATGACGGAGTCGGTCTTTACTCCTGTGTCGAGCCAGCGTGAGGCAGTAGGCCCGGCAGCCCGGCCCATTCATAATCCCTGCGAGCTCCTTCGTGGCACCCTTAAATCCCATTTACTCGATGCTGCTGTTTAATTACAGACCATACATTAAAGATGTCATCGGAGCTATTTTGTCCGTCGATTAGTTTAATGAATTGAAATTTCGGCGTTTTGGGACTGCCGGTTCTCCAGGCCTGACCGTCCCGTTCGCAGGGCTTTGGTGCTTAGCTGCCTGTTCAGAGTGACTGATATCCTGCTGCATAACTGGCATTTAGAAGGAAAACCGTCTGGTTAAAAGTGGTTATTAGCGGCGCAGGTGCCCACCCTCTTTCTCTGCGTGCCGCACCGAACTAAGCACATTTAAAGGCCCCCGAAGAAAGGGACTAACGTGTGTTCCGCATGCTCGAAACCAGCCCGGCGATTTCGTCTTTAATCTTAAATGCGTTGAAATAGCAGCAAGTCAACAAGATAATGGAATTGGTCTTCTCTGACCACATCATGGATGTTTAACGTCTTAACATTAAAACTTATGGACATTCCAGTTAATTACACCCGACCCTTTCATGTTTAATTTGATGGTTTGTGCATTTTATTTCTGTGATAGAAAATCATTTTAGAGAAAAGTTTTAGGTGATTAAAATGCCTCTTTACGTTATGTATTACATAACACAAAAATTAGAAGTTGCAAGTTTGCAGGTAAATATTCATAAATTTACAATGTAGAACCCTGTCTTCGAGATTGCTATTAAGTTTAGTTCAATATTCTCTTATAGTATGTACTTGCTAAAAGTCTATTAAAAATTTTAAAACATGAATGAAACTCTCTCCTTAATGGAGACTAGTTCTTAAACATTTGCTTTTATAAGCTGCAAATCATTTAAAATTGCAGCACTTTTAAATAGATATAACAAATGGACCTGAGGTAGAATGGCTAGTGTGATGCCGCTCTCTTGCTGCATTAAATTGTTTGCATGTGGAATGCGACAACGGTGACTTTATGTCTTGCACCGAGACATCATGCTGCTGGACCGAGAAAACAAGAACTTGAGCAGCATTTTCCAGAGTTTGTGTTTTTATTTACTTGCATGAAAATGGAAGAAGGCTGAGTGGTGAAAATGCCAAGTGCCGGTTATGTAAGTGATTGGTACCGCATGTGACTAAAAACGAGAGCCACGTGGCACAGTGGGGTGCTCATTCACGATTGTCGACGTAAGTGTCTGGAGTCATCGAAGGCCCAGTGTTTATAATTGGTTACCATGGAGATGTTTATTATAGGTGGTTGAGTGTTATATGAGTAGGGGGTGTGGCCAGGTTAGTGGACAGGAGGGTTTTGGCATGGTGGTCATAAGAACAGGGGCTTTGATATCTGCTGTGATTGTCTTCGGGGGTGGCAGGATATGTGTCATGCTGCCACTGGTACGTGACCTTCATATTGCTGCCCAGGCTTTTCCTGTCCTCCCTGTGAGTTTTGCTGTGGGGGGGGGGGAATAATTTAGCTCCTTGATTTATTTCTTGTCTGTGCTTTATGTGTGACCAAATGGCCCCTGGTTGGTGTTTAAATTCCAGTTTAAGATATGGGCTACCTGCTGTGCTCTGTGCAGTGACCCCAGTTTTTCTAGGATTTCAACAAGCGGATGTGTAGACAGAGTGCAATTTGAAGGGCTTCCTTAGAATGGGCTGTCAGCTGGCTGTTTACCAGCCCCTGGGTTCATCTAGGGATACAAACAATGCTCAGAGGTCTATGCTTTTGGGCAGTTATCCTCCAGCCCATAGTTGCCCAACTGACAGTAGATATTGCTGTTGATGGATGAGCAGGAGAGGAACCCAAATGTTTGATCCTCCATATGGGAAAGCAGGCCAACCTGCATCATCTGGGCTTCTTCACCATGGGTGGCCGATGCAGAACAGGGTAGATCGAACCTTGCTTTGAGATGTCCGCTGCTGTGGAAACTCCTCAACTTCTTTATTCATCCTGCAGAAAGTTTGTTTTTGCCAGTAGTGTCATTTTAGTTTTAATTTATATTTGACTATTCTAATTCGTGTTCTTGTTTAGTTGCAGTCAGTGTCACACAGTTGAAAAGTAGAATTATCTTTTGAATATGCCTGGATCTCCAGGTTTTGCTGAAGGATGCCACTGATTTCAGCAGCTTATTGCTCTTCGATATTTTGTCGTTAATTTCACACTGTGTCGATAAAACTTGTCTGCTCTGGAAACGCCGTTGGCTTTGCTCTGTGTAATGTGCACTTTGGTTAGTTCAAGTGGAACTCTAGTAAATGTTTGATCAGTGTTGTCATGTTGGGTTCCTTTGTGGCAGCATTCTGCCCTGGGGCCTCGATTTATGTAAGGCTAATGAAGATTTTTTTTGAGTGAACTTCTGTAAATAGCTTTCCTTTTTTTCTTTTTTTTTATGACAAAATGTACACAGATCATGCTTTGTGTAGCTGTATGCAGTATGAGTTTTTATCTTTAGGTCCGCACATACTTTACATGTTCTTGTCAAAGTGTGATGGTGGTAGCTTAAAATAATTTTTAGTAATTAGCAGGTGTTATTCATTGTCATTGAATTTAGGACTATTTTTCGTTTGTCTTTGATAAGTTTGCAATGTAGAAACCTCTTTCAGTTTCAATGTTATGGAAATCCAAAATAGGTGCTTAAAAATTGCTTGTTAATTGGTGATTCCAGTTAGTGTTCCTCTTGTATTGGGGTTATATTGGTGTGGCATAAATACAAAGTTCAAAGGAAATTGCTCCTTAAGGCATAATAAAGTCTTGCGTTACATGGGGCGAGTGTCTTTCAGGTGAACTGTGAATGACACTCCTCCGTAGTGGTTTTACAACCCGACTATAATGAGTCCATATGTGAGCATGTTCCAGAAGCACGTGAGCTGCCTGTAGTGACCACAGTTGTGCTGCATGTCTGTGACTTGACACTTCGCCTGAAGCAGTGTTGTCACCCTGTAGGGCAGCCCGCCTTTGTTTGCCAGTGCATTGCAGGCTGGAGCTGCTGGCCTCTGATAAGCCAGACACCGGTTTCAGAAGGCTTTCTCTTCTCTGCTTTGTCATGGTGACGAGTTGAAAATTTTTGTGGCAGCATTCCAAACCCCCCCACCCCCCACTGTGCCGGGCGTAACAGTCAGGAACGGTCTTATACTTATGAGTTTTTAAAGAAATAAAAACTGAATACATCCTAGTTTTTAATGTTATGGTAAGTTCTGATTTGTTTGTCCTATCTGTTCTTCAGTACATCTTCGGGGAGTTCAGTCCCGACGAAGTCAATCAGTTCTTCAAGACTCCCCGGTGTTATGTTCAGGTAAAAATGAAAAAAAAAATTGCTACCTTTGTTCGCATCTTATTTTTGTGTGCCAGTGCCTTTCTAAAATATTAATGGAAAAACTCCTTTAATAATGAAGGAAACCTGCATGCAAACGTTAGGGTGTATAAGATCTGTCTCCACTTTCACTGTAACTCACACTGTGCAAAACACTAACTTAGAGGGAGCTTACAGCTTCCAAAACAGTGCTTAAAGTTGTGGTCATCTGCTCGTCGAGTGCCTGGGAGAGCTCTGGGTGTTCTTATATTTCTGAAAGAGATGGGCAGTAAAGGACCTCCAGCTGAATAGCTAAGGAGTCGCTTGTATTCCAGGCTGTGTAAAGTGCAGCAGTGTGCTGCAGATTCCCGAGGCTTAAACATGTCGGCATTAATGGCATGGAGTTGTGTAGTGTTAGTTGTCCATTTTGGATATTCATTCTCAGAAATGGTCCTCTCGGTGCCGTGGTTAATGTTTTTTTGCCCCCCCCCCTTTTTTTTTTTTTTTACAGCTTCCCCCATTCTCCGACAAGGTATCCTGCGTCACAAAGCCCACAGGTATGACCGCATGCCGCCTTCTTTCAGAGTGCAGTGCACAGATGCCCATTTCTCTGTGCCCTTTGTACTCGTGATTTCACCATGATGGTCATGCTTCACGCTCGGGCTGCTGTCATTGTGGCTGCAGTTAGTCTGGTTAATGTGGGACTGAAGCTGCAACCATCAGACACTCTCAAACTAAGGAACTATATGTGATGCAGGAATCTGTCCTTTAGCTGTGTAATGTACCATAATATCACTGCATAACTGTCTCTGCTCAAATCAGTGGTGTTTTAGAACTGAGATCCAACAAAAATCAGTCTTTAAAAATACTGTTATTGGTACTGTATTCTCTGTATTCCTGCTGAATATGTCCATGTGTGCCATGTATGTATTCAGGAAGTTACTGTACTCCAGTGCCAGTCATTACGGAGTCAATGAGACGGCAGGTTTGTGGTGAGTCGGCTGTCCGATGCAATGCCTGCTTGCCGCGAAGCTCAGCCTCGCGTTCTGCAGCTGGTGTTTTCCTAATCTGTCCTCTGGTTCTCGCCTGTGGGATCTGTGAGGCTTTGCATGCTTAGATGTCTTTAGAGCTGGTATATGTATTTTAAAAGGTCCAGTTACTTGTCTGCACCTCTCCTTCCTAACAGAATGACCTGTGCTTCGCTGGTCAGCTTCAATCCGGCAGGTGTTGATTACTACTAAGTAATGCTCAGCTCAGCCTTACATTTAAAAAAAGAAAAGATGCTTGACTCACCTCTCCAGGAGAATTGATTTTTAGTATTAGCTAAAATTGGCGATGGGCAGTCTAACATTTTAAGTGGGTCCTTCGGCAATGGGTTTGGGTCTTCGTCACATGGTATACACTGACCTTTAATAACTAACTGCATCTTTGTATCTTGCAATGCCTTAATTTTGCCTGTAAATGCTTATATTCTATGCTTCATTCAGATATGTTGTTATGTAAATGTGTGTCAGGCGGCATCAGTTGTAAACCCCGAATGCCCTGTAATGTGATTAGTTACGGCGGAGGGTTGAATATTTGTATAACCTGACTCATTGTTTAGGCTACCGTACAGATGGTGGCTGTTCTGGGTATAATGCTAAACTTAAAATAACCACAGTGATGTCTCTATAATGCAGAGAAGCTGCATTATATAGTGCAGGGGTCTTCAACTCCGGTCCTGGAGAGCTACCGTCCGGTAGGTTTTCTATCCTACCTGGCTTCTGATGAGCCTCACCTGTTCTCAGGTAAATACCAGGAACAGGTGTGGCTCATCAGAAGCCAAGTGGGACAGAAAACTTACTGGATAGTAGCTCTCCAGGACTGGAGTTGGAGACCCCTGATATAGTGAATAACAAGCAAAGGAATATGCATAGAATTAAGCAGAATAAGGCAGTACTGAAAGGCAGGTTTTTGTAACCTCTCTGGGTAACTGACTCCCTGGAAAGGTTCACTCGGGCCTCTGGTTAGGGTCCTTGGCCATGACTGCTCTTGGCTTCTCCTGCACAGGTGGTGGCTGTGACCACATCAAGTTTGGCGTGGACGAGGTGATGGATGCCGAGGGTATCAGGATGGGTGATCCGGCCTGCAAGGTCTCCAGCACTCTCAACCCCCAGGCTCCCGAGTTCATCCTAGGCTGCCAGCCGGCTCAGAATGCCCTGCCGACCCTGCAGGGGACTGACGCCTCTGATTTCAATTTGGCGGACGGCTCGGACCCCCTGCTCCAGTCCCCGGATGACAACCAGCCGTTGGGCAGCCTGGCGCAGCGGGAACGCAAGAAGAAGAAGAAGCGACCACCCGGATACTACAGCTACATGGAGGGGCCCAGTGGTGCGGCCAAGGCCACCGGGGCAGTGCTGGTGAACGGGCACACACCTGTCAGTCCTGACCACCAGCCAGAGGACATGGTGATGGAGGCGGGCCTGAGCACGGAGTGCTACCCTGGGGGCGCAGAAGCTTCCTCTGGGGCTCACAGCCGGACTAGTGAAAGTCCGGATGAATCATCCTCGGACCCCACGGACGGCGCGGCCCCGTCGCCGGACCACGACGTTGTGGCCTCTGCCTCGTGTTCTCACAGCCACCAGCTGGCTGCGGCCCCCAGGACAATTGAGCGGCAGTCGGGCCCCCCAACCCTTGAGAGCCCTGAACTGCTGGGCAGTGAGAGGGAGAGCCCAGGTCCCTCCTCCCCTCTCCCTCCTGGTGCTACTGATGAGGCTAACAGCACAGTCGACGGGACGTTGGACAGGCATGCCGAAGACTGTGGGAGCCCGAATGGGGAGGTGCGGCCGGGGGCACTACAGACATCGCTGTCCGTCCCTGCTGTGTCTCCGGCCCCCCCTACTGGTGCTTCTGCTGCCAACCCGCCCAAATCCTGGGCCAGCCTCTTTCACAACTCTAAACCCCTGCCCGGTGGGCCGCAGGCATTTGTGCAGGTGAAGAACGTCCCGTCCCCAGTCCCTGCTGCCCAGGTCCCTGCCCTGGCGTCGGAACAGGTCAACGAGGTGGACGAGGGTCCTGTCCATGTGTCTGAGGACCCCCTGGCCCCCAGGCTTGCAGGTGATGTATCAGCTGGGGTTCTGATTTATAGAACTTAATGGTTCTTTTAAATTAACTGAACAGAATGCATCAGCATAGAGCCTTGTTTTCCAACCTTGTCCTTGGGGACACACAGACAGCTCATGTTTTTGCTCCTTTCCAACCCCCTGCCAGACTGTTTGCATTTTTTTCTGGGAGGGGTGTCCCTGCAGACTGAGTTGGGAAACCCTGGCATAGAGTACAGGTTTGGTTTCAGTGGGAGAACTTTGGATGTGGCTGTCGGGCATTGACTCTGTGCTCTTGGAGTTAACACTTTGCAACACTAGGTGGCACTAAGTCTTGAGTTATAGGCTGACCCTTTACCTTTCTGATAGCACTGCTTTGCTGTGGAGCCTGTAGCTACTGTTTTTTTTTCCTTTGGATACCTGTTGTGTGTGTGGTGTTTTTCTGCTGTGTGGTTTGCCTACTCAGCAAAAGGCAAATATGAATTTTTACACGTAATTAGTACTTTTTTCACTCAACAACAGGTTGTTTGTCCCAAAGCTGAACACCACGGTCTTAGTCACTTTTGTGTTCATAATTTCCTAGAAGTTCTTAATGACTAGCATGTGGCTCAATGGGCTAAGCCTGTGTACCTGTAATCAGAAGGTCGCCAGTTTAAACCCAGCCTCAGCACATCTGCGGGTCTTTGAGCAAAGCCCTTAACCCCCAGCTCCCTGGGCACCCCAACAGGTGGCTGCCCTTCACGAACAACTTATTCTAGAAAGAGCAAGTTGAGGGAGACATAAAAATTTCCCCACGGGGATCAATAAAGTATCAATTATTATTATTATTACTAAGGCAGTGGTTGTTTTAAGGCTCTTTGAATGTAAGTGGGCCTGACCGCAGCTGATTGTCGTATTCATTGTAAATATGATGTCAATGCCGGCATGGTTTGGCTTTGCAGCTGTATCCATTTTGGTGAGTCTTTCCCTTGCCACCAATCCAGTGATTCTTATGCTTTCTTCATTCCAAGTAGTAAGATGTATTTTGTATCCCATAGAATTGATTGAAAATGTGAAGTTGATACACAAACCGGTGTCTTTGCAACCAAGAGGACTGATCAACAAGGGAAACTGGTGCTATATCAATGCTGTATCCTTTCTGTTCATGCGTCATCTGTCCTTGGATACCTCCCATTCCTGAAACATTGTTTTCCTCTTTCTTTTGCTGTCCAGTGAGTATGATTGTGAGCATACACTCTTGCAGTGCTGGCAGTTATAGCGTGATGCTCGATTATTCTGCATCCTCTGCCTCTATGGGTAGTCACTGAGCGTGCCGTCTGCGACATGTGCGCCATGTGAGTAGTCAGGCCAGCATTGGGTCTGATGCCAACAGCTCTAACAAAACTGCCCAAAAAATCTGGCAGTTACTCTGGGTGTTACTCATTAGCACCCTTGATGAGAACAATTGAAGTTATTATTTTTCTCTCTTTATAGTGTCGTTAACTGACTGAAGATAAAATTAGCCTTGGAAAAAGAAGCGGTTTCTGTAAACATTGGCAGATGTTTCCTACAATGTCCAGCTTCTTTGCTTCCTGGTTGTGCTGGCATTTTCCTTGACTCCTTCCCCAAAGACCCTGCAGGCCCTGGTTGCTTGCCCCCCCATGTACCATCTGATGAAGTCACTTCCTGTGCCGAATGAGACTCAGCGGTCCTCCTCATCCACGCCCATGATCAACAGCTTGTAAGTGTTCTGGCCCAACTCGTGCAGCTTCTAGTCAGCCCCACATGACCAGGGAACAATTGCACATGGGTTTTATTGAGGGTGTTAGCTTGAATGAGTTCAGTCTCGGGTCTGAAGCAGTGCTACAGTAAAATAGTGTTTTAAGACAGGGTAAAGGATGCATGCTCAGTGTTGCTTCAAAAAGGTGATTGTCACTCACTGTCTGTCTCTTTGCAGTGTTCGACTAGTAAATGAGTTCAGCAATATGCCTGTGCCGTCCAGGGCTAAACAGCAAGGTGAGCACAATATGAGTCTTCCTTCATCAGGTCTTCACTGCATCGTGCAGCGCTGACCATTATACTTCTCGCTGCTCTGTTCACGTAGCTGCTGGAGACAAAATCATGAAAGACATTCGGCCAGGAGTTCCCTTTGAACCCAACTACATTTACAGACTCCTCACTGTCATTAAGTCCAGCCTCTCTGAAAAGGTAAGTCCCATGCGTCAGTTTTGTGGGTGTTTACTAGCTGGCAGTACAGTTCCTCGGTGATGGCTTCCTGTGATTTTTAAGCTATGTTGCTTTGTTGTTCATGAATGCCCTGCTTGTTGATCCTCAGGGTCGACAAGAGGATGCAGAAGAGTACCTGGGCTACATCCTTAATGGCTTGCATGAGGAGATGTTAGCTGTAAAGAAACTCCTGTCTCCGCCAGAAGAAGGTCAGCATTACAGATGTTTTCTTTCTGAACACATTCCTTGACTTGGCACATCTTGTCACTCCAACATATGGCTGTGCCTATTCCTCTTTACATTTTCTGAGTTAGTATGAATCATAAGGCCTGTATTTAATGAAAGTCTCACCTGTGTGAGCAGAGGTTTCCACCTTGAACGGCCCAGAGTCCCACTCAAGAGCCAATGAGGAGACAGCAGAAAAGGATGTGGAAAGCAGCGATGACGAATGGGAGCAAGTCGGCCCCCGCAACAAGACTTCTGTAACTCGGCAGGCCGACTTTGTCCGCACCCCCATCACGGACATTTTTGGGGGCCACATCAGGTGGGAGTTTCTGGGCACTGCTGGCTTTGTGCATACGTAATGAAAAAGCAGAGATGGCACAGTGAGGAAAAGAACGGTCAAGAACATACAGATCAAATGAACTGTGGTGTTCTAACAAGAGAAGCTTTTGACTCTAAGGGACACAATTATGCCAACTTGGTCTTTTGGAGTGGGAAAAAGGCCAGTTCTAATTACAGGGGAGGCAGTTTAATTGGGTTGTAGTTGATTAGTTTTGGGCGCACCGACCACTTTCGTAATTAGAGGCGAAAGTAAGTTCAGCTGGGGTCTGTATGCGTCATGGAGAGAAGGCACAGCTTGTAAGATAGGGAACTGGCACTGAAAAGATGTTTGTGTGCCCACCCTGCAGGTCAGTGGTGTACCAGCAGAGCTCCAGGGAATCGGCCACGCTGCAGCCATTTTTCACCCTGCAGCTGGACATACAGTCTGAGAAGATCCACACTGTGCAGGAGGCACTAGAGAACCTGGTGGCCCGGGAGTCTGTCCAGGGTTACACCACGAGGACCAAGCAGGAGGTATGGATGGTGATGGCTCCTCTATGGACTATAATAGACTCTTCTCTCACCAAAGTCTGCCAGTCCTGTGTGATGCTGTCCTTCCCAATCAGTTTGGTCCACACCCTCCGGCCTTAACGGGCCTCACTCCTGCAGGGACCAGTGGATTTCCTTTTCAGGGTTTGGTCTTGCTTTACAGATTGAAGTCAGCCGGAGAGTGACCCTGGAGGAGCTCCCTCCCGTGTTGGTTCTCCACCTGAAGAGGTTTGTCTTTGAGAAGACGGGAGGCTGCCAGAAGCTGGTGAAGAACGTCGATTACCCTGTCGACCTTGAGATCAGCAAAGGTATGAGCAGGCCGTCAGCATCTTCAGCCTGTAAGTTGTGCTTCTTTATTTTAAAGTCCGATACTGCTGACCAGTATATATTATTAATTCCCCTTTACGTCTTTGTAGAACTGAGCTAAAGCCTTTGTTTATTTTACTCCTTGTTAAAGAAGTAGTAGTGTTAAGTTTTTGATTTGTTTGTTTCTGTTTTGAAACCTGAGCCTGGATTCTCTGAGTAAGGATTCCTGTAGTCCTCACACTTTTACTACTTTCAGATCTTCTCTCACCTGGAGTGCGGAGTAAAATTTTCAAAGGCCAAAGAACCTACAGGCTCTTTGCAGGTTTGTGGGTTTTTTTTGTCTGGTGACTTTGCTTTGGTCATCTCTTTAGTTTTTGTAATGCTTTCAAATAGGGGTGCAACGATTATTCGACATTGTCGACAAAAATCGACAATAAAAATAGTCACCGACGAATTTGATTGTCGATAATTGTCGCCAGACGCATTTTTAAACAGAGTGAGACGTTGTCCTTCCTTTATACTTGTGCAATACTACCGCTTTCCAATAGACTGCACCAATACACCACACAGGTGAGATTCGCTCTTGCGCAATAGCATTCAGCAACAGGTAGAAGAATGGTGGCCACAAATCAGGCATCGTCGCATATTAAACGCTCTAAAAACTCAAAGGCTTTTAATGTCCGAAAACAAAGACGAGATCTACAAAAGGGTGAATAGCACGGACTTCTTGTCTGGCGTATCTAATAATAATAAATAATAATAATAATAATAATAATAATAATAATAATAATAAAAATAAATAATTATAACAACAATAATAATAGGGCATAATAATAGGCTAGTAGTAGTATATTTTACATTTTCAAAAAGATCAGAATAGAACGTATTTCTGTTTGGAAGTCGGTGGTGTGTCATGAAGTGTCTCATTCGCTAAAAATTTAGCTAATAAAAAAGGTCAGAAAACAGTGTAGAAAACCCATTGCTTAAATAAAGAAGCCAAAACTCTGAAGCTCAAGATTCAGGACAGTGGCTCCGATGTCGCAAGTGCTGCGAGAGCTTATGCTCCCTTAAAAATAAATAACAGCAGTTTAAGTC